AATACGTAGAATATAGAATAGATCTTTATAGACTATGGTAGATATAATTGATAAACAAAAGGATTGACTTATTCATAAATAGAATAAAGTTTAAGCCTATGATAGTCCAACTTGACACAAGAATGAATAGTCTTAATATTGTGATGAAGTAACTATATCTTGTCACTTATGTTGAATTGTGGTTGTTCTTTGCAATAGGCATCCACATTGATCTTTTTTCATTTTTGAGCTTCTTTTAATTATGCCTTTATTATTGCATGTAGCTCTAATAAATGATTTGCTAAATCTTATGCCACACAATTATAAACTTTTAAAAAATAAAAAATATCAAGTTATAGATAATAACCATAATTGATAAGAAAAAGTATTTCTTAAATAGAAAAATATATCAAATTATTGTACATAAATTTTTCTAATGGCAAAAGAGTTGTCCAATCATCTTCATGATAGTTGATGGTATATTTCAAATACTACTCCAAAACATGATTTTTGATAAATATCCTATAATAAGTGGCAAATTTCAAAAAAAATTGCATATCTATTATTATTTTTAGAATCTTTTAATCTATGATATTCTAGACCTTCTTCAAATCCATCATTAAACCTTTGTTGGAAATGATATATCCTAAGAAGTCAACTTAAATAATCTAGAATACATACTTTTTTATCTTGGCATATAATCCTACATCGTTAAGTTTTTATAATACATGACAAACATGAAGTTCATATTCTTTTATATTCTTAGAGTAAATTAGAATATTATCTAAATAGCAAAAAAAAAAAAAAAAAAAAAAAAAAAAAAAAAAAAAATCATCAAGAAATTTACAAAAAATGTCATTCATATATTGAAAAGTAGCTAGTGCATTTTTGAGTCCAAAATGCATGACATTATATTCAAAATATTCATATCTAATTTGAAAAGCAGTCTTCTATTCATCTCCTTCTTTGATGTGGACTAAGTTATATACTTATTATAGATTTATTTTTATATAAAACTTTTCTTGATTGAATTGATCAAGAAGTCTTAAAATTAGAGATAGGAGATACCTATTCTTGATAGTGATCTTCTTAAGTCCTTGATGGTCTATGCAAATCCATAGAGATCTATCATTTTTCTCCATAAATAAGATAAGAGCTTATATTGGAGATTTTGAATGATATATGAAGTTTTTAGCCAAGTTTTCATCAATATAGTCTTTTAATGTAATGAATTTATTCTGCAATAAGTTGTAGATTGATCTGAATAGTAGTTGAGTTTTTTTTTTTAAGATTAATTGAACAATCATATGGTCGATTCTTTAGAATAATATCTACATTTCTCTTCTCAAAAATATCCTAAAAAACTTAATATTGATTATGAATACTATTTGATATCTTTTCACCATAAAAAATGGATGTCGCATGTATACCTAAAGACGATCTTTTTTTTGTCACATACATAAAAACTCCTGTACTTACTAATAAAGAATTGGATGTATTAAACTTATTTATTTCTACTTGACAAATGGAATTTTGGATTAAACTACCAAAAAATTTAAGGTCATAAAAAAAATCTATTTGAAAGTTATATTTTATTAATTACAATAATTCTAAAATAATCAAATTAAAAGAAGATCTTATTATATTAAATATTACTATGCTATTATGATCTTTAATTGTTACATCTAAAGGAACAGTCTCATAGATAATATCTCTAAAAAATAATAAACAACCATCTATGATTTCTACATGTATGGATTTAGTTTTTTTTATTATAAACATTTCTAATTTTTTGACAAAATCTTTGTCTTTAAAACATGTTGAGGCTCTTGAATCTAATAATGTAAAGATTTTATCATTATTAGCTCTTAAACATATATCTATTGTAAAACAAGGTAAGGGATTTGAGGAAAAAATAAGACCTTTATTAGATGTTCCACATGATTCCAGCCGCATAGTTCCTATTGTAGCTAAAGCAACTCATTTTTTGACACATTATATTCTTTGGTAATCATGCTCTTCATTTTATGATTATATTGTTTCTTTGAACAATATTGAGTAATGTGCTTGGCTTCTCTACAATATAAGCAAAAATCCTCTTCATGATGTTAAGCCTTTTTTTTTACTTTGTAAAGAGTTTAAAATACATTGTATTAATTTACATTGGTTTTGGCCTTAATGAATAAGTTTTTAAAACTTGGGAGCTACTATTATTACTTGATTTATTTTTCTGTAGCCAAGTCTTTATTTTTGATACCTTTTGAATAAATAATTTTTACATACAATGGCTTGAATAATAAATTATTCTAAAGATTTTACTTTTAGCATTATCATTAATAAATATTTGACATTATCCTTCAATCTATATCAAAATTGATTGATAAGGGCTTTGTCATTCTAGTCCACATTGCAAGCAAGATTTTGAAATTTAACAATATATGTGGTAGCTAATTGTGATCTTTATCTTAAAAATAAGAGCTTAGTCTCAACTACTCTTTCTTCATTACTTTTTTCAATGTGGCTGTAAATACTTTTAGGAATGAATTCAAATCATAGAGGGATCATGAACCCTTTTCCATTAAAGGTGCAAATCAAAAGAGAGCACTTCTAGATAGAAATGCACTAATGAATTGAACTTGAGCAAATCCATTAGGATATTAGAAGAAATAAAATCTTAGATAGAACTTGACTTATTGCAAAAATCTTAAAATTTTGATCATGTTCCATCAAACTTCTCAACCATACTAATCCTTATCCTTGTTGTAATTATAGAAGCAAAACTTCCTTGATTTAGTTCTAAGGTTAATCTACTTACTTTTTTCAATTTCATAACTTCTTAATATAGACTCTAAACTTCTTCTATAGGCATAGGATTAGTGTTTTTGTAGTTGGCATTAATGATGCATGAAATTTCTTCCTTAAGAGTATTGACAAGTTTGTGAAGATCTGTAATAGTTACAAATCTATTTTTATTTTTACTAAGTGCAACATCTCTAATTTATTTTTCTTCTATTCTATACAACTTAAGAAATCTACAAGTTAAATTAGAAGAAGGTAATCTATAACTTTCAATAAATAAAAATTTCCACAAAGAAGGATAATTTTCTCTCTTTTAAGAAAAAATTAGTATTAAAAAATTAAAGAGTTTGTTTAAAGGTAGATAATCTATAACCTTCAAAATAAAATAATTGAAGTGAAGTAATCTACTCACTTCTAAAATTAGATAAGAATAATGAATTAACACTCTTGTCAAATTATCAAGGACCTAAATCTCAAAAAATATATATCAATATACGCTTGTGTTACTTAAAAAGACTAAAAAATTACTAAAATATGATAATGTATTCAATTAAAATAGCTATTATTGAAGAAAAGAAGACTAAAATATCTTGAAATAAGACTAAGGACTAAAAAAATATTGATATGAGTAAAAAAAGGCTTCATTCTTGCCTCTATATATACTCTTTAACTAAGAGCTATATAACAATATTCTATAGGACCTCCAACATATGTTGACTTTGCTAGACACATGACTTAATTTGCAAGGTAAATTATCTATATGAAGGCCACATAGTCAGCTTATTCCATAAGCTACTAACACATGTATGACATGGCTAATTTCTTAACCAAGTTTCTAGTCCACCAATTAATTACAAATATGTGTAAAATTAAAGAAACATTTATGAAGCTTCTAAAAAGTTTTTTTAGAAGATATTATGAAATTGATCTACTTTTACCTACTTCTACCTAATCATGTAGTGTCAAAGACAAGAACATGATAAAGACAAATAAATAAGTGAGACTTCTCTCAAAGAAAGATGACAAAATAGAAACAACTTGATATATAAATTAAAAAAGAAACTGGAATGGCTATTGCCAAAATACAAGAAAATTAGAGACCCTTGAAACTAGACTGGAAGCAAGAAAGGAGTTGACAAGAGTGAAGAAGGCTTCACTCTTCTTTCTATATATACTATCTATTGTCTATATGAAGATCTTTTATCGTACATTTATCTTTTTTTATTTTAAAAAAAAACTTAATATACATATATATATGAAAAAGTTAAATAGATTTAATTTTTTACTAAATTGACCCACCTATCCTAACCATCATAAAAAATAAAAAGACATGTAGATTCATTTCTCCACTATTAGATTTGCAATTAATAAAAATCAACCACATTCCTTATAATTACCATATTTTTTTTTATCAAGGGTGGGTCTATTTAGTAAAAGCATGGGTCTATATTTAATTTTTTCCTATATCTATATATATATATATATATATACACACACATTCACATACACAAATAATTAAATTCTAACTTCAAACATGGAAGAAAGATTGTGATTAATTCACCAAAATTTCGAATAAAATTATGGACGATCTCCCACATCCATCGAAGACTCGTCCACTTTCTTCATCCATCAACCACACGAACAATCTATCCAGTAAATCCATCCATCCATCCAGCAAATAATTACTCTATCCATCCGCATCTTCATTCATCCAATATGGGCAGGCGTGCCCAACTGCAACGACGGCGGCGATTAATCGCCGCAGTAAAGTCGATCGCGGAGGTAAACGCTAGACGCGGCAAAGAGGAAAAGAGGAAGGAGGGGGGGATGAATCTAACGGCGGAGGGCGGCCCACCTTCAGGGGGGGGGGAGGGTTGGGATCCATTCTAATCAATGCAAAGGAAGGAAAGGCCGCCGTCGTCGTAGTTCGGCGCCGTGGATCCGATCAGCGGAGATCGGATCCGCTCAGTCATTCACTCAACTCCCCATTACACACACTCCATCATCGACGATCTGCGTAGACCTGCAACATCGCAACGGATTACAAAGCACCACCTAACGTTACGCTCCCTCGCAGTGCTCTCCCAACCAGCTTTCAAACCTCACAACCTCGGCGAAGAAGCATGGGACGACAGTCGAGAGTCAGATATCTCACAACACCCAACTAATCAAAACCATTATGATTATTGTTATTATTATCAGTATAAAATGCGAATTACAAATGGGTCCACGTGTACGCTGTCGTTGGACTTTTTCATAAATATCAAGAGTGCGGACAGCTGTGACTGTTGCTCCTGCGTTTGCGTAAATCTTGCGAGCGCTGCGAGTGTTGGTGCTCCGGATGTCGAGGTGTCGTGAAGACGAGACGTTGTGAATGGTAAGTGCCCAATTGAGGTTGAATATCTTCAATCTTGTTCTGGGCCCTGAAGGTTTTGTTGTTAAGCCGCGGGTTGTCTTGTACTGAAGCCTTCAGTGTGGTTGTAGCTTTAGTCGCTTCAGGTTGTGAGTCTGGGTACTTTCAAGAGAGTTGAATGTGGTTCGAGTAGCTTGTGGGGTTGAATCCGGTGCTGATCGATTTTAACCTGGACGCGACTGTGGACAAGCAAAGGCTGGTTCTTCGATATGGGGATGTGTGCCATCAAGGGTCCGCTGGTGACGTCGAGCCCTGCTGAAGGGGATGGTGAGACGACTCCTCGAAGCACGGCGAGCAGCAGCAGCAGTCATGACAGTCCTATGTCCCAGGAATTGAGCGCAGCGGAGGAAGCCAACCATTTTGGTCAAGGCGGGGCGCTGTGGCAGCGGACGATTCCCAAAGGTAGACGGTGCAAGCCTCTCTCGTTCTCAGGAATCATTTCCTACGATGAATCAGGGAATCCGCTTCCCATCCTTCGAGACGAGGAGCGACTTGGTTCAACTGAGGAGCTTGATTAAAGACCTCGTGGTTGAGACATCTGGTCGAATTGTAGGATTCAACATGTGAAACGACAGGGGTGGTAACAACAAATACAACACTAGAATACCACGATAATTTTTTGAGTGAGCTGCGAAACCGAAATTCTGCGTAGTGATACCTACGTCCACGTTGACGCGAGCTCAAATCGGCCTCCGATGGCATGAAACTCTACCGCGACTCACAACGCGGTATCTTCTATCTCGATCGAGACGATCGCCGGACCGGAATGACTCACCGCGAGATGTCGGGCCAGATGTTAACTGTGAGTTTTCGATTCACCGAGCATGTGAAATTAGGCAGTGGCGCACCATCGTCTTCTAAATCCACTTGAGAATCAGAACACGATTGAGCTAATTACTCTGCTCATGATTTCATGCACCGACACTCGATGATAAAGCATGTGTTGTTTGCTTGTCAACTGCCGAGTGTAGACAGTATCAAATCGGTGGATGATTTAATGTATAGGTAGATAGGTCGGAGAATCTATGTGAGCCCTCGCTGCTCCTGCGTTATGTAATCTAATCCAATGTTACCACTGAATATATTTCTTGTGTGATTTAGAGGAATTTTTGCATTGCCACTTTTGACATCAAGCACTTCGAAGGTCTTAAGTTGTCACAGAATGCACACTCCAAGCAAACAAAAACATTATTGTATATGGAAGGTCTTGGGAGAGTAGTCGGTGCCGAAGGTAATTCTTCATGTGGCTATCAGGTGGAATACATGAATGACAATATTTTGTGCTTTAATACTAAATTAGTTCAATTTTGATGGCTTCCCGAAGCTCCTGGTTCAATTTTCTCTTGCAGTCAAGGACTCAAATGCAATGATCTTTCACATTAGCAACCATAGCTATAGAATCATTTCTGACACGTCGAACTAGATCCCCTCAAAGAGAGGACTTGCCCCTACAGCGCCAAAACATTTATGTTTTCATGAATTCAATAATTTTTAAAGTATTCTATATTGTGTACAGTAGACCTGTACCAACCATTCAAAAAAAAACCTGTATATCTAATGAGTCAGTATATTGGTTTTTAGGGGGTAAAGCGGCGCATTCAATTCTGGAAATTGTGCACTGTAGGGTTCATTGCGGACGCTGGAACAATTTTTGCACTGTTTTGTGTTCCTGAGACCTTTCTTGAGCACAACATTCTAGTTTTGCATGCTTCGTTCATGGTGAACTAGAGCTTCTGGGTTATCAGGCATGGTACACACAAGTACCAGTACTTGCAAAGAAAAGCATCTTCATTCATCATCCCAATTAGCGGCACGTCTCTTATCGGATTCAATCGGCGAATAATAAAATAGAGCCTTCTATATCTAGACGTGGGTTGTTACACCTGGCTAGCTTTTGTGCATGTTTATTTGGACTTTATTTGACCTGTGTGCTTTTACTTTATTGCATTGGCCTGACATTGATGAAGATGAAGCTCAAGTGAAGTTACTATTTTGTGCTTCTTAGTTCGTGAATTTGATATGCTGCGACGTTACACATCATTTGTGATTCAGTTACTTACATCGTAATACTCTAAAATGCAAAAATAAAGTGAAGGTGTGAGTTGGAAGGGTTCATCATTAGTTTGTCAACTGTCCTATTTCTTTGGATAGTGAATTGGCTCAGCTCGGCTGAAGAGAGGTGGTTGCATTTCACGCTAGGCAAAGCCCCTGTAGATTCTTCGGTGAAAGGGGAAATGTTTCATTGTTAAATAAGCAGAGTAATGCACACATTTGAGCTAGCTGAGGCAATGCCACTTTTTCTTGATAACTCACGTTTCTCGGTTTACCTGTACGCAACAGTTTATCATGTATACATAAGTTAGTGTAATTTGTTTTTCTAATTCAATCTTGATAGACAGGTCATCTTTCGTTTAATATTTTAATTTAGGAAGATCAAAATGCCAGGATTCTTTCCTACTCGCATTTGACGTATGATGATATGTTTGATCGTTGCTAATAATTGATGGTTGTGTAAATAAAACCAGTAGGGCACATTATCCTAAATCCTAGTTCCGAGAGCTTCAACACCAGTTCAGATTAACATTGCTTGAATAATGCAATACCTCAATAACCAAATCAACATATTTGTGGGTTAATCACAATTACATGGAAATGCTGAATCACAACTCTCTTCAATTTTGCTATCTACAAATTGAAAACACATGCACGTGTGCATAAAAGCAACGACTGTCATGGGATTCAATGAGTTAACAATTACAACTTGAAAATGCTTCAGAATTTCATATTTTTTACCTGGTGGCTTGTGTTATTCAATTCACCTACCCACTATGCCTATCCATTATGCCTATCCATTACTTGAAAGATCCAGTGGGGTTGTAAGCTGTACATAGTGGTCGCATAACGTAAGGATACTTCTCGAGGTCCCGAATCTACCGAAAAAGGTCCGAAAACCACGATGATCCACTGAAATTATTTGCAGTCTTGATATGTTCGCTTCCAGTAGAACCTCTTTAGTAACCTCGTCTCTATCTGGATTCTAGTCGCGCTCACTGATGGCTGTGAGGTGCTCGTCAATCTCTTCCGTCGTCAAAACGCGAAATTCTGGTTTGCTAGCACGAACCACTCCAACCTATCAAAAAAGGGAGATGTCACAAAAATAGTCAGACTCCGAAACATACAAAGCTGTACAAATAGCTTGTAGATTTCATGAGAAGTGCGATAGAATCCAAATTCACAAAGTAACGAGCTACTACCAAATCCATTCAAGAGCTGCACTAATGAGGAAGTCACGAGTAAATGATTTCAGCTTCCACAAATTTTCGATCTCAAAAGCGTAAAGAGAATCGTTCTCAGAAGTCTTCAAATTCCATATCTAAGCCTCAGCAAAAGCCTCCGAAACGCTACATCTGGGAGCAACCAATCTATCTAAAATTCATTTTGTTCAGGGCATAATAAGCGACATAGTTGGCATTTAGATGATTGTCCATAAATCTGTTAACCAAGATCATCAATCCGAACAACGAAGGCGCGTCATAAAATAACAAATATGATTATCCAAACAACTATTCTTTGTCTTTATAATTTCTTGGTTAATACTACCGGCGGATATGTGTTGCTCAAAACCTAACCCATACTTCCTCAGATGCGTAAAATGGGTACCTCTATTTCAGTGGGTTTGAAATCCTCCAAAAGAATCGATTGCAAAGCTGAAATGGCAATCTAGTGATACCCGCAGAAACAAGCAATATGTCGTCAGACAAGTGACATTAAAAAAATAAAAAAAATAAAAAAAATAAAAAAAAGTTCCAAGTCTGCAAAAGTGTCAACAATCAATGGAAGAGAAACTAATAGTTGAGAGCCTGAAACATACTTGCACAGTCTCCTCGTAGGAAAATTGTGGATTGCTCTTACACTTCTTCTCCAAGAAATTAACAGCTTCTTGCTCCTTGGACCCAGAGCTAGTAGCCTGCGTCAGAAAGAAGCATTCAAGCTATATGAAGCTGATGACATAAAGAATAATAATGCCCCAGCAATCCGGCTCATGTGAAATAACTGCAAATTCAAAACTCCCGATGCCACGTATGTACAATGCATCAAAAACATCTTAATACACAGTACGGGTCGAAGTGATCGATTTAAGGTGATATACCCGCGTAGTTCAAGCGATTTAGGTGAAACGAATTAGTCCTAAACACTGCATTAAATAAAATATATCAGATTAAAAGTAAACGCACCTTGTAACCAAAGTAATGACCAGCCGGATCGCACTTGTAAAGTTGTGGACCCAGTTCGTCATCAATGCCAATCAGCATGGCAGCTGGAAGACATCCAAGAAAAAATTAAAAATTGAACAAGTTCAATCACTTCTAATAAAAACTACAGCTATCCTGTGCTGTTTCAGCGGGACTCAATCCAATCCAAAACTACACTCCCTACTACATGATTTTAAGGTCCTTGGTTATGAGAAAAAGACACTCAAACTCTCCATGGTTGGATGCTGCACTAGTCGCCATCTACAGGGTCAGAAATGTAAAACATAGTCGTAGTGCCGTAGTTGTTCCTATGATAAACCTTCATGCGATGAGAGGAAGAAGAGCACAGACATCACGACACCATACAAGGGGAAAAAAATGCTTACAAACACCGAGCGGGCGCATGTACGCATGCTGAGTGTAAACCTGGGATTCATCTGCAAGCCTGTTCTCATAGGCACCCACCAATCTAAGTTACTGCAAAAACACGGCCAAAGAAAAAGTAGATCTACACAAGAATGAATTGAAACAAGGACCTAGCTGAGGACCTGATCTAAGCGAAAGAACTGCTCAATTTCATACAGAATCTGTGAGAAACCAAAGAAAAGTATTCTGTCAAGATTTTATGAGTCAGTTAGACGCGCCCTCCAGGGATGCCTGGTCGTGACCTTATAAGAAACTCTAGCTAAAAAGACGATACAAGTTGGAAAAAGAAATCCCCGAGACACCAATCCTGATTTTATATTGTTCATACCTTTTTGCCAAATAGTCAACAGGTATCTCATAGCCCAACTTAAATTTGAACTCGGCAGCCTCATTCCGAGCATGCGCTACCAAAGATTTTGCATCAGCTGCATAGTCGAGCACAAGATCCATGTCATGCTTACTAAAACCTCAGGAAAAGGAAACAAGGCACCCGATTCGTCCTCATGCGCAACCTCTGAAGGAAGTTTAATACATTAGCAAACTGAACAATCTAGCAATAGCATTAACAAATCCTGCAGCTCAAACCAAGGGCATAACTCACCAGTCATTCCAGTAGCGAGAAGACCAATGTACTTAGTGATAGCGAAGAGATGCGTGACACTCGCCTGATCAAGCAATTTATCCTGCAAAGCAAATCGAACCCACATTCGGCATCATTCAAATAAACGCGATGGAAGCCATATCTCAGGAACAAACAAAAAATTATCGTAACGAAATCCAATCTTCCTCTATCCTAAATCCTAACCGAGCAAGCTTCAGGGCTTTCGACTCACCGGAACTTTCTTCTGCGTGACGAAGCATACCGAGTCTTTACCACGAACGCCAATTGAGGTAATACCAGCAGCTTTCACGGCCTTGAAGGCATACTCTGAAAAATGATGTACATATCACAAGAATCAAATTACCCACAACAACGACTCACCCATCAACTGAAAGCGCAGGGTCAACATTCTTCGGCGAATCATAAGAACCAAACTCGTCTTCCAAGTAAACCCAACACTAAGCTGACGACTCTCACATACAAAATCACTCCAACATACCCACCCGATACGCAAACAGCACGAGAATTCCACTCACCGACTTGGTAAAGACGCCCTTCCGGCGAGAAAATAGTGATGTGTCGATCATACCCAGCCCCCGATCCACGACTCATCCTGATTCGGCTGGCGCAGCAACTAAAATCCGAAGCGAAATGCCGAGACGGTTTGCCGAATTCGAGAGAGAGGGCTACGCAATGGCGATGGCAAACCCCAACGGACATCCCGAGGCAGGGGCCCCTCAGACTTGAATTTTGCTTTCCCGTCGTTCAAACCAAGGCTTCTCGTTCCCCCTTTCCAAGTGTAATTAATCAAATTAGACGTTTAAATTTTGATTCTCCAATATATACAGAGTATTAAAAATGGGCCGATGGATACCTTTCCAAGAATTGATTTTCATGTACAAAAATGTGGACCGGGTTTCTTTATACATAAGAAGTTTGTGAAACAGATGTGTTATAAGGTGTATCATTCATATGGCAAATATGTTTGAAAACATTGTTATTGTTTAGAATTTCATCAAAAAAAAAAATTTATTAATTGATGTTGATTTATGGAAATTTGAAATTTTTTATTCGGCGTTTTCTAAGCATTATTTACCATACAAGACAAATCAAAAAAAATTATGATACAAAAAAATAAAAAAATAAAAAAATAAAAAAATAAAAGGAAAAGGAATTAACTTAACAACTGAATGTTGCTACTTCTCTTTTTGGGGGTATTTTTTTGAAAAAACATATTTTGTATTAAAACTTAAGAATATATTATAAGACCAACTATTACATGTTTATTTCATACACCACTACATATATACATTCTGTTTTAAACAAGAATAATATTTATGCATAATGCAATCATGATTCACTACTAAATACATTGTCCAAATTATTTTACATTCACAATAAATAAATATGATATTAAACAATGAGCTTCTAAATAGAATATACTCAACTATTTTATAAATACAGAAATACACACACATATATCATGTACTTTTTTCAATTGAGAAAAAACACATACATAGAAGAGATGTTTCTTTTGCTACTTCAACTAATATATATTATTATAAATTTATTGGAATTATCAGGATTTTTCATATAATTTTCTTTTGTATTAAAATTAGTGATTGTAGATTATTCTCAAATCATTTCTCTATATGCAATTGATAAAAAAAAATTGTTAATTAGAATCAGAATTTATAGGTTACATTACACACTTCAAAATCCATGGATATTGTGGTGATAAAAAAATAAAAAATAAATGATTCTATTGCATACTGTTTTCAGGACAATTTGATTTTAAAATGTCAACGTAAAATAGGGTTTTTCAACAAGTGGTAAGCAGAGATGATTGTTTTGGTCTATAATAAGATAATTATATAGTTGTGACAAACTAAAAAAAGATTTCAAAGCCAAAAGAGATGCAAGGTTTTGAAAAATAATGAAGAGAGAAAAGTAAGCTTTAGTCTACAATTTTATTTTTTAATACATGTAAGGCCAAAAATATTTCTCCAAATTTTAGATACTTCACAAATTATTACAAGAAGCTTTATTCCAAGCCTTGTAACATAAAATACTAAAAGAAATTACTTTACAAGACTTTAATGTTGCTCTTTCATGAAAAAGAATAGAATAATTCATAAATATTTATTAAAATCTAAAAAGAATATATTGGAAGATAAAGATTTCTAATAAAATCTAAGATAATTTATGGACCTCCAAAGTCAACAATAATATCCAATGCCAAAATTTGATAGATATTTATAGATTTGGTGCTTTTGATAGAAATGTTGTTGATGTCTTTAAATGTGACTTGCAATAAATAAATAAATATATATATATATATATATATAATTTATTATCATTGAAAAAGAGAGCAAATTGAGCATGATTCCAATGTTCAATTTCATCACGTAAATTGAAAATAAAATGTTTGTATATACATACAAATATAATGCTAGTTCTTATATTTGTTTTCAATATTGTGTTTTTCTATTCTAAATATTTATATAGTCAACACCAAAATCTTAATCAATGTTTTTTACAGGTCAGATTTTTTTACTACAGCTAATGACAATAAGAAGTGCAAGCGTAGGTTTTCTGTTCATTTAAAGACACAGCAATTTTTTTACAACATCATTTGATGCTGGACACATAATCTCTCTCTCTTTCTCTCTCTCTCTCTCTCTCTCTCTCTCTCTCTATATATATATATATATATAAAAATATATATATACTTTCTGTTAATTACAGGCAACAATAGTTAGTTGTAAGCAAACTGAGCTAAAAACATAATATTCAAACTTCTTTTTGATACTCAGTAACATACTTTAAACATCACTACAATACTCATTTTTTTTTTTTTTTTTTGAGCATTGGGAAGTGGATAAAAATGGGGACAAATATCTGAAGTTCACCTGGAATACTTTTAAAACAGAATCTAATATATACATATATATTTTAGAATTGGTACACAAAACAATAGAAGCATTTTGATTCTTTAAAACAAGTACAGCTCTGTTAATCCTACAATATGTACACTCATTTCATTAAATAGAGGCCAATATCGTAATCAATATTTTAATTGTTGTAAAATAATAATAACACATATATATATATATATATATATATATATATTCATATATAATGCAAAAGAACTCTTAGATGTTCTTTGTCTTCTCCACATATTTGTTTTTGTGAGAGCCAATTTAATTCTCTCATGGTACCTTCACTCACAAAAACATCAAAGCATATACCTTTGAGAATAAAATCGGAAAATGAATGACTAGCCAAAATTCCATAATGATAAGAGAATAAACCCCCTTGGAACTGTAACACGTACAAAGCGTGGACAAATGTCAGCAAAGCTCCTTCAGAAGCCCACAAAGTGGCAAATTAACACTCTCCTATGCTTAACTAATTGGGAGACCCCAATAAAGTATATAAAAACAAACTCGCTCTATATTTAGACGGTGGCTAAAAGCAACCCCGCTAATCATAGGAAGTCCTGCGTGGCGCGGAACTCTTCTCCATGTAGCATCCCCCCGCGCAGGGAGCCAATCAGGTCCACTCTTGTGACTCCGCGGTTCTCGAAGGCTCCTTTTCTGTGCGTTCCTTCTTCCTGCAAATCCACGCCCCCCATCGTGATTCAGATTCAAATCTATTGGTTTCGTAGATATGAAAGTTGGTATGGATGAGGATGACATAATAGATGAATGTAAGACAGAGGGGTTCATTCATTCATCCAGGGTGGCGCTCCGGGAGGGCGGGGTTTGGAGGGCTGAGGGCGCAGGCTGAGGGCGTTGGCGGTGATGGAGAGGAGGCTTGCTTCTATTTCGCGTGGTGGTGGTGGCCGAGGACGCGGGGTTGGTTGCGCTACGATCTCGTCGTGATAATCTCTCTGTGTGTGTGTGTGTGTGCGTGTGTCGCGGTTTTAGTGAGTTGTTGTAGCGGAGGAGACTCGTGAATTCTTAGTGTAGCATCGCGGCCACAGGGCGGAGGAGGGGGTTTCAAGTGGAGGGAGGGTGGCGAGAGTTCGTGGGGTGAGCGTTTTTGTGATGAGAGTTGGCTGCGTGGAGAGGAGCGGGGATTTGTTGTGCAGATTGCGAGGAGAGGTGTTAGGCGGGATGGAGAGGACACGGAAGAGCAGCGGAGGTGGTGAGGCGAAGGAGAGTTTGAGTTGGGAGGATACGTTACGAATACATCAGGGAATATGTTTACGAAGATGTAGGTGCTGTTGGTGTTGTTTTTCCTTACGTGATTAGAGTGAAGGGGAGGAGAGGGAAGGGTCAGAGGATGAAAGAGAAGTTTGCGAGGGTAGTTCTGCGCGGGTTGCGACTGCAGGGGCGTGACTATGTGGAGCTTCGGAGGGACGGAGCCACTGCTGTATTTTATTGCTCCCTGTGTGGGACTCGGTGCTACAACGATGCAGCTCTGTCGGATCATTTGAACGGGAAGGCCCATGCTCGCCATGAGAAGTCCGCGCACGCTACGGTTGGGGCGCGACCGAAGCAGGTCAAGAGGGCTCTCGTTGATGTTGATGGGAAGAATGAGAGTTTGCTCACGACGGCTGCGAAGACGAGAGAGGAGTGTGGCGCAGGGCAGACATCGTCTTTGTCGGGGGAGGTGTTGTCTCTGAGGGGAGGATGCCAGAGTCATGACGTTTTTACCAAGTCGTCGACGACGTCCTTGAAGTGGATTGGCAGTGGGGAGCTCTTTCTGAGAATAAAGTCCATGGGTAATCCTTTCGTGGAGGCTACATGGTTTTCGTGGCAGAATATGTGCAAGTCTGCGGAGAAGAGCTGGAATGAAAATACCAACGCCGCTAAAAAGGAGTATGCTGTGGTTGTCTTTCCTTACAGCGAGGGAATCGGCAGGGGATGTGACTGGCTGTCCGCGAGCCGCTCTGAAACGAAAGGTTCTCTAGCTCCTGAGAATAGAAAGTTGCGTCATGGGTGCAAACTGTCTCGCAGAGTTCCAGGAGTTCACGGACCTAGAACGCAGGATTTTCAAGAAACTGCTGGATCGAAGGAGACTTCGCCTCCCACCCCTCGACATACAGCCCACGCGCCATCGACTTTGTCAATCGGAACGAAGCTTACAGAATCGGTGTCTGAAGAGCTGCTGGAATCTAACGGCGAGCCATCTGAAAACGGTTTCGAGCATGACGGATACGTCACAACATTTCGAAGAATATGGAAACGGAAGCAAGCCAAGAACTCAGATCGCATGTGCTTCATTTGTCATCAGAGGCTGCTCCCAATCCAAGGCGTTGCTGCTCTGGTGAACGTACAATCTGGGCAGATGATCTGTGGAAGTAGAAACAGGCAAGGGGTACGTGGTCTCACATTCTGTTATTAATAATTGTAACTTCTTTGACCAGACTCTTGACTTTCTTTTTTTGTAGTATGTGTTTTGTGTACGTTTTGCAACTTAGGTGGTTCGAATGTCGGGCAGGCCTTAATTTTTGCAGTATGGATCATAAAGATGCCATTCACTTGGAGGTATTGGGGCCTGGATTATTTTGCATAATAATTGAATGGATAACTAATTATCTTGATACCAGTGCCTAACCGCAGTTCGTTATTGTATAGCTTAGGGTATTCATTTGCTTTATAATCAATTTGTGCCATAAACAATACTAATAGGTTCCTTCGCTTGCAGGTGTTTCATGTCTTTCACAGTGCGTGCTTGGTAGAGTGGATTGCATTCTGCGAAGCAAAAACTTGGAATGCTTCCCTGTCGATGAGTCGAAAGCTGAAGCGCCACAAAGTTGTGCATCCTAATACGTGTCAGGAAGATCATGCTAACGACACACATGACTGGCCTGGAACCGAAACTGAGTTCACATCTGAGACAGGAATCTTTTGTCCTGAATGTCAAGGCACAGGTGTTAAAATGCATGGTCCGCAACTTGAACATCCTCGGTTCCGTCTTTATCAAGTAAGTCGATTATGACTCTACGATACTGTCGACGCGTGTAGCTAAAGTCTGGGATTTCTGCTATCTTGCTACAAACAGTTGAAGCTAACTTTCCTTTTCTTGCAATGCCTTCAGGTGTATGAATGGGTCATGGAGCTGATAGAGTCTAGAAAAGCGTACATTGAAGGGTATGGAAACCCATTGGGACTATTATTTGTGAAAAAAGATCAGTCCAAATCCCCGGTATTTTTCTCTCACAATATAACTGATAATAAAGTACGCCATTTTGTTATGGGGGATTTTTTTAGTTGAAGTTGCAGTACTTAATGAATGGGGCAGAATATTTGCGCACCTTTGAGGTCTGATGTTTGTCTGATTTGTAAACGGCGTTTAGTGCTGCCACGCTTTTTGTTTTTTGTTTTTTTGGTAATTCTTTTTCTTTTTCTTTTTCGATCCCCTAATGTTGTATTGTGCGGTCAGGGTGTTGTTCAATCACAAGGTTTCGTACATTTCTATTCCGCTGGAGGCCCTCGGGACTTGGTAGCGAACCTAATGGACAGGTGACAGTTTACGTTGTATTTCAATTTCTTTTACGTTGGAACATACTCTCAAATTCTAAAGTACATTTTGCGCTAGTAGTTTCTCCTTCAGAATACGTTTGTGTATGCTGTTCGAAGCATCCAAGGTAAAGAAAGAAGTGCTTTTCGGATATGACTGATTTTGTTCTTGAATATCTAAAATGCAGGGACGTGGAAGCTTGTAAGTAAAGCATATGTACTTTCATCGATTTTATAGCAGCATGTGGGAGTTACTCATGTATCATGACCGATAACTGTATAATATTACAGTCTGCCTAAGGACTTGGAATTGTAGTATGATCTCTCGTTTTGAAATTCTAATTAGTTTTACACTTTTTTTTTTCTTTTTTTTTTCCAGAGCTGTAGCTTGTACAATATGCCCAACTTTTGGTTCAGTAGGTGCAGGCTACAGATTTCGAGAAGCTCTATTTGAGCGTTTACTCGCCACTTTAAGGCATGATATGCCACCCGGTTTGTACGCAAGTCTATAAGGAATGCCTCTGTTGCTGGGATTTGTCGGGATTTAATGAACTGCTCTGTTGATTTAATTGATGATCTTCTTGCGACATTTGTTTCGTGTGTTTCTGTATCCCTTCGGCAATCGATCCCTTTAAACCTTCCAGTGCTTGTGCTCATTATTTTCTAACGGCAACTCCGCCTTCACATTAGACACTTCCAATCTCAGCTGCATGAGAACAAACAGCTGCGCATGCAAAATGACGCGAGAATGCTATACAGTCTGGCTATTTCACAAGCTTCAAAGCAAACTTCACTGGAGGCCCAAGCATAAAATCCCACTGCAAGGGAGCTACTAGAATAGAGACAGCAACCACAGGTGCACCCTCTGTACTATTACAAAACCACTGAACTTGGCCAGCGTTTCGAAAGCTTTTTTTTTCTTTACCGCTGAAGTCGGAGATCGTCAACCGCTCCAAACATTACTGAGTATCAGTGTTCGATCACCGGCTGGGAGAAGATCACGGTCGACACGTCCTCGTGAACCACGTCGTGAGCTCAATTAATCTTCAGCAAATTCTTTGGCCGCTGGGTTTAGCGTCGCCTGGGTACCTGGTCATAAAATGAGATTGGAAGGCGGCTGAGCTTGGAGCATGGAGAATCCGGAGGCTGCAATCTCAAGGGGGCTACTCCAGCTCCAGCGGGGCGCAGTTGATTCCACGAGTTACAACGTTACAACTTACATAATCATCGTGCCGTGTTGGCGTATATAACTGTTCGAGGGGCACGGCCCATATTTTCGATTGCAATAGCAACAAAATGTGCACTCGACAAGCACTACATCCAGCCAGCCGAGACATACTTAAAGTTGTGCAATAGTTGAAACTCGGCTGGATCTTAATCAAACTGAGGTGTGCACTCTGAAGAGTATCTGGTACGTTTCGCCATGAGGGAGTGTTTATCAATCCACATTGGTCAAGCCGGAATTCAAGTTGGCAATGCTTGTTGGGAGCTTTTCTGTCTTGAGCACGGCATCCAGGTGGGTCCTGGGTGCAACTTCCTCCGGTACAAACCATCCAGACAGGGACGTTATGGTCTGGGAAATGATTCAATCATCATCTGAACAATCTGGATATATTAAGAAATGCCCTATCTGAAGATCCGTCTAATTTCTTACGATGAGATCGTGAACATTTTTTTTAAAACATTTTTTAAATTTCTTCAATTTTTTAAAACCACACTCACTTTACGGTAAGTGCATGTATGTTGATGTTGTGTGTTTGTGCAGCCGGATGGGCAGATGCCAAGCGACAAGACGGTGGGAGGAGGAGACGACGCCTTCAACACCTTCTTCAGCGAGACAGGAGCCGGAAAGCACGTGCCCCGATGTGTAATGTTGGACTTAGAGCCCACCGTGATCGATGAGGTCCGCACAGGTACCTACCGCCAGCTCTTCCACCCTGAGCAGCTCATCAGCGGCAAGGAAGACGCCGCCAACAACTTCGCCCGCGGACACTACACCATCGGAAAGGAGATTGTGGATCTAGCATTAGACAGGATTCGAAAGTTGGCGGACATGTGCACCGGCCTGCAGGGATTCATGGTGTACCACGCAGTCGGCGGTGGCACAGGCTCAGGCCTCGGCTCGCTGCTCCTGGAGCGCATGTCAGTTGACTACGGCAAGAAGACGAAGCTCTCCATGTGCGTCTTCCCGAGTCCGCAAGTATCTGGCGCAGTGGTGGAGCCTTACAACAGCATTTTGTCTTGCCACGGCCTCCTGGAACACACCGAGGTGTCGGTGATGTATGACAACGAAGCCATTTACGACATTTGCCGAAGGAGCCTGGACATCGAGCGGCCGACTTACACGAATCTGAATCGGCTCATCACACAGGTGATATCGTCGTTAACAGCGTCTCTTCGCTTCGATGGCGCTCTGAACATGGATCTCACCAATTTTCAGACCAATTTGGTGCCATATCCTCGGATTCACTTCATGCTGTCGTCCTATGCACCCGTGATATCTGCCGAGAAGGCTTACCATGAGCAGCTGTCTGTCTCGGAGCTTACCAATAGCGTGTTCGAGCCTGCCAGCATGATGGCCAAGTGCGATCCTCGACATGGGAAATATATTGCGTGTGCGATGATGTACCGAGGAGACGTTGTCCCGAAGGATGTAAATGCTTCTGTGGCGACGATCAAGACGAAGAGGACGATCCAGTTCGTGGACTGGTGCCCAACGGGTTTTAAGGTGGGGATCAATTACCAGCCGCCGACGGTGGTGCCCGGCGGGGATTTAGCCAAGGTGCAGCGAGCCGTGTGCATGATCGCCAACACCACGGCGGTGGCGGAGGTGTTCTCTCGCCTGGACCATAAATTCGATTTGATGTATGCGAAGCGAGCGTTTGTGCACTGGTACGTGGGCGAGGGCATGGAAGAGGGTGAGTTCTCTGAGGCGCGGGAGGACTTGGCTGCGTTGGAGAAGGATTACGAGGAGGTCGGCGCGGATTCAACGGAGGGTGATGGTGAGGATGAAGGCGAAGAGTATTAGATCATTCGCACACCCGATGAACACTGTAATTTAGCAGCGAGATTAGGGAGTTGAGCAGCAACCTTTGAATACCTTTGAGGGTGGACAGATGTTGTTTGTTCACATGCAGAGTTGCAATTTTTCCCAAACGATGACGCCATGCCTTTCAGAAAACACAAAAAATTCCTGTTCTCGATGTAGAACGTAGCAATGCAAGTTTTGAACCCTGCTACTTGAAACAGACGCTGTGTAAAAACGAACGCCAAGTTACAGTTCACGTTCAATCCACAGCGATTTACCAGCATCAGGGCTGCAATCAACGAGTTCACAAAGTTTCGAAAACTTACGAATGGAGGACAAAGGCAGCAGGTGGGAACCACTGAAATTACGTCTTAATACAAAATCTCAGACTTCGAGAATACGGGAGTTTATACTTCCTCATCACCTCTCGACTCGTAACACCATGAGCAAAATTGAACAATAAAGTGAAGGAGCGCCCATTCGGCCAGCACTTCAGTGATATATCTTTCCGTCTTCGGTTACAGTAAATCGCACATCCACAATTTGTCGCCGCGGCACGCACGAAAGCCTAGCGGGGTTTTAGTTCGAGCCAGCACGCATTGTGTCTCGCTGTTGGCAAGTTGGGCGACGAATCCTGAGGTGCTGGTGGAGGTTCTACTTGAGCACCATTCAATTCAATGCCTGGAGATTCGGCTGCCGTGATGAATAGTTGCCATTATTGTCTTTCCTGAGGAAGCAAGAGTAACTAAATGCAAGAAGAAACATGCAAGATTACTTTGAGTCAGTGATTGAACATATCTATATATATATATATATATATATTTTCATATCGCACTGAGATTCGTGAGATGCTGCGTTCATGAACGACCTGCAAGGATCAGTCATTTCACTTCACTGTCGTCGTGGTAAGGGCTCTTGAGACGCAGGGACTAGTTTGTCCACCCACAATCAATCCGCTCAAAGGCGTCTGACACACTCTGCCTGCAACTCCTGCCCGCGTCGACAACCACTGTTGATCCATCTTCCATGACTGTCACTAATGTCCATGTAACCGTGCTTCTGGCAGATTCATCCAGTACTGTCAGCTCTTTCTTTCCACACGTTGCAAGTGTCTGCCAGTTTCTGCAAACTTGCGACACAAGCTCAGATAGATGCCGTTCTTCGATGAATTCCCAACTGAAGCTGTCCCTTGCATGAAAGCTCACACTGGGAGCTGCTGGTTCCGGGCTCTTCAGACACAGACATGGGTAATTCGCATTTTAGACACAAGCGAGAGCCGACTAGTCCTTCATCTGCGGTACCTCATTGTTTCGTTTCTTCACTTGTCAACATCCTTGAAAAACCGTGAATAACAACGCAGACAGTGTAAACGATACGAAAAAACTGTCATCGTGGTATTTGGGTGGCGCGTGTTGCTTGTTTCGTCTTACTATTCAGCTTGTGTGATGCTTTACTGTTATTGTTATTAATGTTGTTCAAATCAGACAACAAATGTTTTCTGGTTTGATGCCCTTTTCGGTGGGGTATATGGAATCTTTTCAGTGAATCATTGAGGCATTGAATTTCTGTAAGAAATAAAGTTGTGCATTGGAAATTGTAAGATATATTTTACCCTTATTCGACGATTGGACTACTTTTTCGAAAAAAGTACACATTCTATGTGCTTTTTCAAAAGAAATTACCCACATCTTACAGATCACATGAACTTTCCAAAAGAAATTCAGGATTCTTTGAAAAGATTCAAATTCAAATCATATGGAACACTATCAATACGAAAATCGGAAAAAATAAACAAAAACAAAAACAAAACAAAACAAACTTAACCACACGTTGTTAATTACATCCAACTAATTCCATGAACAATTAGATTTAAAAAAATTATGATATCGTTTCAGAACTGTTGTCATCAACCAAGTGCCACATTCACTAATGCTAACACAATACTCAAAAGATCATTTTCAAATAACTATTTGTTCAAAATCATATGTAGAACTTAATATTAAACATTGGTGGTTTGAATATGTGTGAAAAAACAACACAAAAAACTACCAGCATCAAAGCATTCTCCCTCAAAAGAGAAAAGCTCAGCCTTTCATGCAACAATTGGAAAAAACACAAATGAAGAACACTGACCACGCTCACCTTCAAGTGCAACAAGTCCATTCAAAACCAACTCATGTCACATGTTAAATTATGCAAATTTATTTCTCTCACCCAAAAAGAATGTTATTTTCTGATGACGATTTGCCGCAACAGCAAGAGCTGGCTGCACTGAGATTACGAGAAGGTTGCTCTCTCTACACTTTCCACACATCGCACTCGACTGCTTCAAGTCCGTAAAACTAGTGGAAAATGAGAGCTGCTCGTGTTATTTGCATCGATGAAGGAAGAAGGGGCAAAGGTCTCCCTCTACATCCTCACTAAGCGTATGACCCCTGCGCATCACGGTGGTGAGATCTCATACTAGAACAATGGTGGCTGAAGTTGGGCTTTAACCTGTACACTCGGCGTTCACTCCTGTTGTAGAGTAGCTGATATACTTCTGATGAGCACATTGCCGTAATTTGTCGAATGATCCTGTACATTGCACTAGGGATGAAGAGAGTAATAACTAGTCACCATTACTCAGTCACCAGCTTAATACCACCTTATCGGTTTTCTTGAGCTTCTTCGTTGTCTTCTTCTTTTTCTTCTTGTGCTGTACAAATGGTGGAAGTAATGAAGTAACCAGAATAGATTACTCCATCAACCCTCTGGTGTGCGAAATCACTTCGAGATCAGGCTCTAGCCTTACGACTGTGTGTTGGGCTGTGAGCTGAGAGTTGAGAGTATCGTGATTTAAGATATAAGAGGAAGCAAGTGGAGTTGGTTCTGGTCTGAAAAGTTCCTCCGACAACAGGAATTGTGATTTTTTCCCCACTCCTTGTGTATCATCATGTGTCTTCGTCCTCATCCGATTGCTACCAGCCTCTTGATTTCCGAGGTCGTGGAGATCGGTAAAGAGCTCGAATTGTGTGAGCCTTGTCTGCATTTCGTTGTCTTATGGCCTGGGACGCTTCGCAGCGTGCATAAACGCCGCGATGACCTGTGCCTCGTCCAACTCCTGCATCAGTCACACGCAACCTCGGGCACAATTTAGAACCTCTACATCCAATGTGGGTTTTGAGATTACGCACAACTGAGCAAAAAAAGAAGATTCCGCACGACCACACGTATCGCCACAATCTGAATAGACATCGAACTGTCTCACATGCTACATTTAATTGGGAAAATCTGCATTTGTAGAACCAATTATAATCTGTTGTTTACATTCCAAATTCTTAGATGCAAAGAACCACAACCCTCGAGTAGCTTTCACCGACCGATGGGAGAAACCAAACCAACGTGGACTATGCATTTCTCGTCAAGAGAAGGAAAAGAGATCAATGCAAAGAGAAGAAGCTTGAAAACCAAAGCAGTAGTAGTGTCATTCGCTCACAAACTTTTCACACAAGCAAATACCTGCAGAAGACTCAACTCTCACCTGTGACATGAAGTGTCGGCCGACAGCATGAAGAAGCTGCTCCTTGGTAGAGTTTGGACCAACTTCCACCTACAAGGAAGAGCGCAGGCCGAGATAAAAACTTCGTCAACTAAGCATGCAGCAAGGTAGCGCTCAGCACATTTTAAAAGAACAAATCAAAATGTGATAACTATGCAAGAAAAAGATTCATTTTAGCAACTACATTCCCTTCGTACTAATCGTTGGACCTTAGAAGATGCCTCACGAACCTGGCCATTCCACCTCGCCCACTCATTTCCCTTTGCACAATGAATCGATTCTCTTAATCAGAAAGCATGACTATCAATACTATTCTCAAATCTCTCCAATTCGACCGATCCTCTACGCTTGGCCACCAGGCTGCAAAAAAAGGTGCTGACAATCAGACCGATGAAGTTAATTTACCAATTTAAAATGCCTGCGGTACCTCTTCAGGGCAGCAATTTCCAGCTTACTAAGATCCACCAACTGCACCCACAAGAACCGTGCAGCAAAGCGTCAGCAATTTCGAAGCGTTGTCACGCGTGCCTGAAGCCAGCATGTGAGGTTTCTACACCTTGCTAGTAGAAAAATTACAGAACCTGCTGAACATAGATAGTGCGAAATACTGGGTTTGAGTGGAGCTAGGAGGACGAGATCTCTCGGGACTTTCGTTTGTACCGGTAGGTCTGCAGAAATGGGGCTGGATCCCTCATCCACCTCGTCCCTTCTCTCGAATAAGCGGTTGAAATTGGCATGTTTGGTTGCCATTGCATGCTCCTCTGTTATGCTTGCGCTGTGTGCAATCGTCACTGGCGGCTTTCGCGGCTGAACCCTGGGCTTGAATGCATTTCTAGGAACATTGTCTTTGGCAGCACAATACAAATACTAAACTCAGTCCATTGAATTCCCCTCTAACCTGCAACTGGTGACCTCTGAAGAAAAAAACTGATATTCTACGCAAAGGACGTATGACGGCAATCGGTGCGCAGCTCAGCTAAACGCAACGCAACGCAACGCAGGAGGACCCTGCTTTGGTGGAGAGTGGTTTCAAGCTCACAGACCTAGACTTGTTCCACTAGAAAATAGATTTTCTTCATTGTCGTTCTGCTCTTCGTGACCAGAAGGGGCCTCAATCACACTCAACGCGTTGCGCTGAAGCTTGACTTCGTCGCCATTAGTGAGAACCTGAGAGTCAATGAACGTTTTCGCATCAGGGGAGGGGGGTGGTACGCACTACACCACTATAATTTTCACTACTTCATGGAGACACCAGGGGATGATGTTCAACCTTACAACCTAGAGCTAAATGTTTATTTACAACCACTTAGCTTCCAAGCATACAGGGATCAATCAATGCAAGCGTTGAGACTAATTGCAAAATCGTGGAGGTCAATCAAACAATGCTTCCCGCTGAGCTGCTACCATGAAACTCCAACGATGTACATGAAACAAGTCATGTACATGAAACAAGTCACATTCATTGAAGGTCTAGTTCTATGTGTAAACTGATCAGTGGTCCTCAAGAATTGGGTACTGTACCAGCCAGTGCCATCCCCCGAGACCGACAGCTTTCGTAACAACGCCGTGAAGTCCCACAAGGACGGACTTGGTGCGATTGTTGCCCGTTACTAGGACCTTCGTGTGTCTGGGTAGAACGGCGAGCCCCTCATCACCACTATCCTCGCCGGAACGATAGTGAACGGCCGGCGGGCTCCCTTCGGTATTCAGCATTTCCACTCTAAAAGACCGAAGCCAAAGTCTTGTTCCTCCTCAAAATAGTTTTGCCTTTCCCTCTCCCAGATCACAAATTTCTATGTATTAATTTAATTTAATTATGTTTTGTTGTTCTCTTGCTCTCCAAATTGTCAATCTCGCCCGCTTTTAGATTTTGCTACTCCGCACCCGCACTCTGCCACCGTGTGCAAGGAATAGTGCCCCAGCCATAACCTCAATTCGGTCTCACGTTCAACCTCAAAACAGTACTGGGTCTGGTCGAAGTCAGAGGAGAATACCAAGACCAAATTTGCAATTCTATGATTTTTGCAAAATGGTTTGAGAAAGTCACAGCTCTCAAGGCTGAAAATTGAAACGGCCGAGTTTGTTCCAAGTCTGGAAAACCCCTCCCTGGCATCTACTAACTGAAAAAACGCCTCGCGTGGTAATCACGGTGTGCTAGAACACACAAGATCATTTCCGGCCACCAGCGTCACCGTCCACAACCCATTTTCACTCATTCCGATCAAAGTAGCGTTGTATGTACTAGTATCGCCTGAGCCCTCGGAATCTGAATAATCAGATCGAGTAACCGATAATCACAGGCATCAATTATTTACGAAGGGGGGGGGGGGGGGGGGAAAAAAGGATAAAGGAAGCGAACGAACAGCCTTCTCTGCAGTACTCTCATAACATATGACGAATTGACAGTCTGCAATGTCGCATTGAGAAACAGAATGTTGCAGAAAGAAAAATTAAGAGTAATATTTGTCCATTCCACAGGAAAGAAGACTCCAAGAGCCCATTTTCACTGGTGTTCACCCGAAATATATCCTTCACGTAATGAGACTACTGATCTCCTTCGTAGTTGCTTCGACTAGTTGTTCATTCAACTACAGAGCCTCACTCAGACACCTCTATAAAACACCAAGTCAGTCTTTCTCTTCCCCACACGCCCATGATGCTGCCACACGCGGTCTAATCTATATAGTAACCGATACGTTACACGTTCAATTTCACCAAACAGAATAGTAACAAGGGCGCTACTATTTCATGGAAGTCGCATGCTGATGACATACACCGAGAAGACTTCATCGACACATTCCTCCCCATGTTTCAGATCCACTTGCAAAATTCCAACCCACACCCGCATGAAAACTTCCACTCCCTACAGGCGCCAAACCACGTCGTCATCCCCTTCTCTTCCGCCTCAATCTACTTTAAAAAATCCTTCACCTCAACTGCAGCCACGCAGCAGGAGGAGGATGAAGATGAAGATATAAAAATAAAAATAAAAACAGCCAGTCAACTCCACTACAAGCACCTCCGGACACTCGTACCCTCTGCACTCCACTCCACGCTTCAACCCCAAGCCCAACTCGATCGCCGCTCCCCCCCCTATCTAACAACACATCCAATCTCAGCCCACACAATTTCCTCACAGGCTACATGGAAACCCAGAATCAAACAATCAATTCAGCAATTGCGCATAAAAAGTAAAGACGAGAGGTGAGCATAAACGCGGCGGGGGATCTTGGAAGCAGGGCCAGGGCCATGATGTTAATGATGAATGGACCAAACTCTAGGTGGGAAGTAGAAGGGGAGGGAAGTAGGGAGGGAGGGGGAAGGAGGGGGAGGGAGAGGGAGAGACAGACAGACAGACAGACAGAGAAGAAGTTGACGGAAACAAAAATATTAAAACTAAAATTAAAAATAAATAAAAAGTGAAACAAAACTGTAGCGCCTGTAAGCTAGACCTGTCTATGCTGACGAACTGTGCCTTACTGACTGACTGACAACCTGGAGGCAACTCTCACTGGAAATGCAACCACTGCAACTTCCTCTCAGGGGAAGAGTATCATGTAAAAGGAAAAATAAGAAGAAGAAAAAGAAAAGGGGGACAGATCATACGCCCGAGACTAGTCTCGCGTAATTGGGCTCAGACCCCGAGGAAAGAAAGGGAGAGGAAGACGTCGAGAGCGGGGACGAACGGTAGAGGAGGCTACAACCTACTAACATGGATGCCTCGCCCAGGAATCTCTAGTGACGAGGTTTATGAAAGGGAGAGACATGGCTGACAAACGGCGCTAGATCTCCTCCTTCCTGCCTTCCCCCCACCTCGCCTTACTTACTTACTATTTCCCCTTCCCCAGCAATTCTCTCCCGAAGGGGATTCTTCTGTGCCATGGCATCGATCCACGAACACTGACACCCCCCCCCCCCCGCGCACAATGACATAGCCCACCTCCGATTGCATTGCAGGGGAGTAGATAGCTGATCACCAAGTTAAGTGTTCACCGCTTTGCGGAACAATGCTTTCATGATTCGGCTGTGCACATGAGCGCATTTAAGGCGGAGTGGCAATGATACCAGGCTCCAATCATTGTTCTCATCACCATCGCGGGACGAATAGACTCACCAGCAGACGGACTGACGGACGGACGGACTGACGGATAAACAGACAGACAGATGAAGCGAGGTAGCGAGAAACAGTCACAAACGCCGAAATGAACGCCGTCAGTGCCGATTCCAAAGAGAGTCAACGCTTTGACCTGCAACTGGACTCCACCCGCGAAAAGGGGCAAATTCTATGTTTGGGTAGAATCCAAATGTGCACCCTCCTCGGGTGGCGATGGATCGCTCTCGCTCTATCTCTCTCTCGCTCTGGCTAGTGATCATCTGGCTGGGCATAGCGTCGATACAGTGCGCTTCTCTCTCTCTCTCACTCTCTCACTCTCTGCATTGCCGCTGCATCGAGATCCAACACATCGATCCGCTTGTACCCATTGTGGCCTCGCCGTTCTTCCTCGCCCCACTTTGCAGTCTTATTCTGCATGCGCCATGCACTTCGGCGCTGCACCTGCCCGCCTGATCTGCTTCACTGCTGCACGCGATGGATGTTTTCCACTTCTGGATGTCTCTGTGGATTACTCCGTGGATGTATTGCTGACATGTCACCTTGGGTTTCCTGGCCGTGGAAGCCACGTTGGCAGATTTTTGTGATGAACGAACTCGCGCGAGGATGTGTGGATGGCATCCATTGTACAGAGATTGGACGCCTATTTCCGTTTCCCACGGTCCGTAATTAAATAAAAATTTAACGGTTCTTCACTTAATACTGAAAAAGCAAGTTCGTGTTGAGATTGTTGGGTATCATAGCATGCTTTCAAAAGAAGATAGTGAAAATGAACACATACTCCAGAAGAAAATGTCCTTTTCAATTCATCATGCGTGTGAAAAAGGAGAGAGATTCTTCAATCAACCATATATAGCACATAAAATCTGTGTCTAATTTTAATTTTTGAAACTCTGTTTTGTGGTTTGCTTCCACGGTGCGCAAGAAAAGGAAACTTGTCATCGTTTTTCTGATATTAATCTTTGAAACATTGGAACCGTGTCAGTTGTTATTGATAGTATCTTACAAGTGGGTTTCTGTGAATGCACTCGGGTTTTATATAGTTCGTTGTGAACGTCTGTCTGTGTGTATGAATGAATGCACATAATGCCAGAACTTGTATTTCCAGGAAACCTCATGTGTTGTAGTCAAAATTGTAAGTATGATTACATGTAGCGATTAGTTGTTTAATTTTCAAAATATTGCCTCTAATCAACAGTACTGAGATTAATAATAGTAGTACATCACTCTATTATGCTTACATTCCGCATATCAGCTCCTCAACTTACAATGTAAAAATACATATCACATATCTTGTGGGTTTTTATACAATACCCAAGTCCTCTTTTTCTTCTTCTTTATTTATTTATTTATTTATTTTCCCTTCTAAAATTTGTTTGCATCTCCTGGATCTACATTGCTAATTGCTGGAGTGCCAGTTGCAAGTTCACAGTTTTTATCCAGCAAAGCCGTCCTCATGACATCCGGTTGTAGCAGTCAATTGACCGGCTACTTCCGGTTCACAGAAAAGGAGAACAAGGGCCCCATTGAACTGGCAAGGTCGGCAGCTCAGGGAGCACGGGCGGCTGGGTGACGGCCGGGTAGTGTCGGAGACCGGCCGGGTTTCATCAAGGCTGCCGATGGGCGCCGCCATGCCATTATGGCCATCCTCGACCTCCCTATCCTCATCATTTCATTCATCTGTTTCCCCATTTTCTATCCAAATAACAAGTCTACATTTTTCATTCGTCGACATGGGCCCATGCATGATTATCACGCTTCTAGCAAGTGCCATTCCTCAACAATATTGTATTGTATTTTATTTTATTATTTTATGCGCTTTTTGCTTACATGGCAATTGAATGCGAAAATCTATATGTGTTTTAGATGTAATATTTAGTGTTTGCATTGTAAATGTAAAATGTAATCTAATTCTATGGTATTGCATAATGCATCCTTGTGGGATTCACATTCAAGATTTTACAAACTTGCAATTTTTGAGGTGGATTGAGAGACAATTAAATTTGGAATACATTATTTGGATTAATTGTATTGTATTTGACGTGTAATTACACAAATAGTTTTAATTGCCATAAACATAATCTCATCATAAACAGATCTGACAAAGGTTGTGCAAAATGGTATAGAAAATACTGATCAGTTTAATATACAAAACCCCAAGTGTGGGTGTGTGTGTGTATGAGTATATTCTCATCTAACAACCAGGTTGAGTGTTGAATCTTATGTACTATTGTGGTTTCAAATTTAGCACCAAACAATTTACACATAATGAATGTGTTGATATTTTAACTTGGCATCACAACTACAGACTAATTAATAATGAAAAAAGATGACAAAATAACCAAATACCTGTCACACTGCTAAATTTTCTAGAGGCAACATAAACACAACAGAACATAGTCTGTGCTGTGTGACACTTTACTTTTTTCAAAGAAACTAAAAAAAAAAATGTGGCTCTTGACTCAAAATCAACATTTTTGTATGTACATATTTTTTTTGCATGGTACATAGGAACTAAATGACTGGATGCACATGGTTGACAATTACAAAAAGGGGAGAAAAAGATAGAGACGAGACTTTTTTCTTAGTGCTAATGGGCAAAGGAAAACACACACAATACACAACACATCATCTGGTGTATGAGAATGGGTTCTTCTTCTAATGGGGCTCTACCCACACAAGGGGGCAGCATTCATTCATTCCACACGGAACCGTCTCCTCCTCCGTTCCACACGTGCATACCAAAACTTTCGGAATGCTCACTTTTTTGGACGGAATCCGGTTGGGTGTGTGTGGCCATTGGTAATTGGCCTACATGTTCCCACCCCCCCCCCCCCAAAAAAGCATTCCATCCCTGCCCGCTTGGTCTCTCTCACTCTTTTCCTTATAAATGGACGAATGAACTTCAAGGATGAATGTGCACCAGGACCACAATCCATCCATTCAGTTACCTATCTCACTTCACGTGATGGGTGAGAGCTGACGTGTCATGTTGTATGGTGGCCTATCAATAGCATCAAAAGATCCCCCCTTTGTATAGGAATATTCCTTTGTGGACCATACCCCATGGTCATGTCATGTAGATAAGGTCTATGTTACGTTCATACACTTTTAATTGTGAAGCGTTTTTGAGGAGTGAATAGCTTCGCTCGTGTAATCCAATTTAAATGATTGTGCGAGAAATCACTTATATATATATATATATATATATATATATCCAATCATAGAATCCAAGTGTTGAGACTTGGCTCACCACCCAATCAAATCATGAATGGATCCTAAACCAAAAATAAAATAAATAAAGAGGGAATGTATTTTCTTCAGTTTTTTTACATAAAAAATGGCATTTAATTAAAAATGGAAACAATTTCGAACAGTTTGTCATTCATCTCTTAGATTGAAACGTGGAAATTTAACCCCTTCTTCTCTACAAGAAAGAAGTAAAAGAAACGGGATCTTCATTGAAGGAATCAATGCATAGAACAACACATTGAAAAGATAGGAAAAGAAGAAAAAAAAAACACAAAAACACAAAAACACAAAAAATACAAAATAAATGAACATGGATGTATGAAAGTTTGAATTTTTATCTTATCCTTCTTAACTCTTTTTATAGAAAAAAACAAGTTAAAGAAATTATATATTTGTAACTTTATCTGCCTTTCTTTGACTTCTATTGGAAATGAGAACAGCAATCCACATAAATCATGGATCCGTCCATATATCCATCTCATCCATTGAAAGAAGGAAGGAAGGAAGAGACAATCTTCATTTCACCAATACCACTCTTCAATGGACTAACTACTATAATTGTCAATTTCTAAAAGTACTTGATTTTTGTCATGTGTTCACGTATAACACTCCAAAATACTACAGTAAAAATACCTTTTAACGGTGAAAACAAGAAAAAGAAAAAGAAAAAGAAACAAACAAACTAACTAACTAAAGCATAATGCAATTGACACAGAGTAATAATACACTAAATTTAATTAGGAAAAAATAGTAATGAAATTCATATCTTCAACAACGCCCACATTAACATACCGCATAGCCTACTCACACAGCAAAGAAATGATAGTAATTGTGGTGAATGGAATATGGAATCTTTGCATCTGATATTTGTTACATTTCAACATTCCAATGTGTTGAAACGACCACCAAACAAATCCACAATGTTACGCATCTCATTCCCAACCTGAAACAAAAGCGGTGTGTGCTGTGAAACTGCAACAAAAGGCAAAACCACCCAACACCATTGCCAGAAGACCCTCCACCAGTGCACATCGGAAATAAGAAAACAATGCACTTATTCCTCAATTGTTAGACCCAGAGAGTAGTATTAATAGTAGTCGCAGAACCAGCAGCAGTAGTGGTGGTATTGATTTTTGTGCTTTTAGGGCATCACAATGGCATGGAGTCAGTGCAGGTGGGGGAGCTCAGAGTGATGGCGATGGCGATGAAGCGTGGATCATCGTTGCAGCCAGTTCATGGCATGTTGGCCCATCTGATTGTGGGGGTATATGTGTGTGTGGGAGTTCCTTCCAACTAACTGCTGGAGCTGTGCAGGTGTGTGCTATTGTGCCCAGCCGTTCCATCGTGATCACATCGCCTCCTGCAGAGTCTAGAGAGTTGGTACCATGTTAGAATGACTGCAAGGGGCTCGTGGTGGATTGATTCTCCCCTCATGTGCACCGCAGTGGGCAATTGCCGTGTCGGGACGGCAGATCAGAACACCCAGGCTGACCTGCCCTGGAGGGACTAGGCTGTGCCCCTCCCTGCGCACGTCTTGTCGCCCGTTAGCACATCGATCGACCCGTCATAGTCCTTGGCCTTCATGGAGGGGATGTGAGTGCAAATATGGGTTTGGATTCTCTTGGGATCAAGAGGGTGCAAGCTGGGGCTGAAGGTGTTTCTGAGCCCTCAGTTTGGGGTTTGAGGCGCTTGGAGTCGGCCAGGAGCTGTGCCAGAGCGCAGCGAGCAAGGACAGAGCCACTTTCCGCAGAGGGGAGGATTTGCTGCACTGGACGACGAAGAAACGGTTGCTTGCATTGAAGAGGAGCCACTCCCTACAAACAGCGAAATCCTGATAATTGGGGTGCTAGGTTCTGACAGGGACAGAGTGCCGACCAGTCGCAGTCGGCAACGGGGAGCAGTACAGGAGAACAAAAGATGCCGAGGGCGTGGTTGTGTGCACCCTGAGAAGTGTGCAGTACTGAAAGACAGCCATGTAAATTATGTGCATGAGTTTGTTTATTCTCACTTGACCAGAAACAAGAGTCTGCATGTCTTGAATGAATCGTCCCGACGCAACGCGATTGTTTCGTTTGTGCAGTCGTCGCCATCCATCCACAAAGTGAACATCTTCATAGGCGTCGAGAAACAGCTTATACGTGCTGAGCATTTAGAGCGCATCCAGAAACATATATCGCCAGGGAATCCGCAACGTGAGCAAATGGCTGTCACTGGGCTGGGGAGGGAGGAGGAGGTTTCAGCGAGAGCAGCAGGAGTGAGCACTTCGAAGTCCCTTACTGCTCGATCTGTTATGCGTTAAATTTCCCGAAAGGTCCACTAAGGAACCCATGGACTTTTCGCGACTGACTTCACGTATCAAGAGGTTCCAGAGAGCTTCTACAAAAAATTCAGGCTGGTACCGAATTCGTTTTGTGTAACATACACTTTTCCCCCTAAACGCCGCAAAACTTAGCGCACAGCACCGAACATGTACATTAAACTCCTAATGGATTTCCCATGTGACATGTGGAATTTTTCCTGAAGGTTGATCCTATTTATGAATCGTCCTTCTCCCTATGATCCAACTGTGGTACCGAGTCAACATGAAATAACTGATTCTTCGTACTAAACATGAATCATTAGAAACGATCCACAGTTCTACCGCAGACTTGGCAGTCATAATGTAATGCACCTCAGTAGACTCGTGCAAGTCCTTCGTAATAGGAAATTGGTCTAAGATCTGCTAGGAACCGGAACAGCTCTCAAGTACAACATAGAGCATTTGCAGAACAACTTGTTATAAAGTCACTGAAATTCCCTCAATAGAGTTTGCCATCAGTACACCAATATATCAGTTTGGCAAAAAAATTGAAATGCTCCCTCGTGAAGCGTCCCCAAGACATACGAGCCAATGGGTGCTTGCCGCAATAGGAAGAATCATAGAATATACAACCAGAAAAAGTGGAGGACGACCTGAAAATGGGGACAACTTAACAACGTCTACTCTGGAGTGGGAGAAACCAGTTCAGCGCCACCACGATCAGAGCTACTTGAAGATGGAGGAAAATCCCACCATCGCAATGAGAGAAGCTACCAGAAATGATTTTACATACAAAAAGTTGAGAGATCAAGGATAGATGATAAAATTGAGTCACCTCACTCAGCTCAAAGTAGTGTTGTTTCAAATCACGTCAAATGACTATTAACAGCATTTGTTTGTACAGACAGAGTAGCACGAGCTCTACGTGTTGGCCATTCAATCTGTATCTTCCACGAAACGACTCACTAACTCCACATCCTTAAAGTGCACCGCTTGGAAAACCCAAACCTTAACCTGCGACAGAAAACGAAACCGCACTCGTATAAGAAAATTACATATGAAAAGGATGGAACACGAAAACAAAAAGAAACAAACAAGAAGAAGCCTGGAACACATCGCTGAAAGAGTTTCATCATCCCAGCTATTCACAAACGTTGGATTCAAAACCGTCAGTTATTTAAGCGCGAAGATGATGAAGCAGTGGAAGAAGGAGAAGAAGGAGAAGAAGGAGAACCAATCACCTGAACGGCTTCAGTGGCGATCGACACGACACCACGAACCACTCTTGAACATCGTTAACCTTTTTTTCTGGGAAATTAGTGCTAATCCGCACTAATGAAGATGAACAGTCCCCTCGCACCGCTAACCCAGTCTACATTAGTCACAAATTATGACACAAATCGAAGGCAAAAAAATTAAAATGGACTCGATTCCAAAAGCTTCCTTGACGCTGCTGCAGGCTCCTCAAAGCTTCAGCTCCAAATCGTCCGCCGGCAGTTTCATCTTCCCCCCAACCTCAGGAGCCAGGCCATCCCACAGCGACCCCAATCCCTGCACAGCGCCGGGGAACTCCAGCTCGGATGGACACCTCCCGAGCCTATCCCCAAATGAGCCCTTCATCCGAGAAGAAACGGGAGAAACAGGCATACTGATGGACTTCTGCATCGGATTCCGCCAGGGATGGGAGAAAGTTTCCAAGGGGGAATCGCTATTTGCTGATGGGAAAGGCCCCAGACCCGCCATCCCGCTCAGCAGCCGCCCTTCCGAGCTCGTCCGCACCCTAACCCCGTTGGCCCACTTGCTGGAGTTGGAGCCACAGACGGTAGCAAATTCAAGAGCCGCCTCTGGAGAGATTTCAGAATCTCCCTCTTCAATGGGAGTGCGAGCGCCGTCCGGAGTGTCGCAGTAGCCAGGGCGGAGATGGGACTGATTTGAAGCAGCAGCTTGAGCTGCGGCGGCAGCCGCGGCCAGGAAAGGGTGATGGTTCCATGTGGGCGTGCCGGTTGGAGGAAACCCGTGGGGATGGTGATCAGTCTCCTTGATGTGATCCCAATCTGGTTTGACTGGAGGACCACGGTGAGTGGGAGAGCTCAGTGGTGGCGTGACGGGTGCGCTAGAGGAGCCTCCATGCATTACGTGCAAGGGCGGAAGACCCGCGCTGCTGCTCGGGGTGGCTGCCCCACTGCCTCCATTGGAAGACAGCCCCTTCAGCCATGGAATCAGGGAAGTGCCATCGGTGGCACCCGGGTAGGAGTTCGTAGGGCTCACCTCAGATGGGGAGGTGCAGACCTCCATGGGCTGCGCCGGTGGCTTCGAGCCCTGCGCATGTGCATACGAGAGCGTCAAACGGTGACATTGTGTGCGAGTAGGTGATAACCCCTAATTAGTTACAAGGATGTGGTGTCTGATGTGTGTGAGAGAGAGAGAGAGAGAGAGAGAGAGAGAGAGAAGACAAACCTTGCGGTACGTGGTGCCGTCCTCTTCCACCGTCCAGCCCGCCTCCACGCACAACGCTTTGAGAACTTCATTGTTGTCGCAGTGCTTCGGCAGCTTGTAGTTGCCATAAAGGCGCAGGCCGGCGAAGATCTTGGCCGCAATGGCGCGCCGGCGCCGCTCTCTCCTCTTGTTGTTCTCTCGCTCCTTCCATGTGGGCAGGCGCGTCCCGGACGTCATCTCACTGACCTCTAAATCGAACTAAGAGGGGCTACACAGCACCTTGTGTCAATGTACTCTGGCCACCATTAAGATTTGGACCACTTTTATGCCTAGCGCTAACCCTGCATGTCCCTTGCACAATCAAAACTGTCACGAGAACATATCTAATGGTATGAATGATAGGAGTGGAAGCCTCGCCGGCTTTGCCTGTCGCTTGCAATGCCCCGTGAAGAGTGCTCAAAAGATGTGGAGCCAGAAGAGCTACACATACACAGTGGTGGAGGGGGAAGCAGAGAGAGAGAGAGAGAGAGAGAGAGAGAATGCAGTAAGGAAGATAGCTTTCAATGCGGAAGGATACGAGATGCTCAACGAATTCCCTTCGTGCGCAGGTCAGGAAGGGAGATGCGGAGGAGTGCAAGAGATGATTGGTTTCCGGCTGACAACAGACAAAGAGAGACACGCAATGAGGAAGGGTGAGCTAGAGCAAGCACGAATGTCGAGGTGGATGATCAAGAGAGAGAACCACAGCTTTTGAGCAACAAGTCACGGCTAGACTTTCTGAGACGTAGCACCTGGGGGCTCTGCGACAACGAAACACCCTCCAAATAAAGGCGAGGCTCGCGCATGCGGGCTTGCGACTCGGAAGGAACAAGACCTCTCTCGCGCCACTCTTCTGCTTTTTTGTGCTCTGACACACTCAAGTCAAATGACGCCCCGGACTTTCTCCCCAACCCTACCCAAGGCAGGGACCCACTCGTTCACCCACTTAACTCAAACACACAATTTAATATAAATTTCAAAAATTCAAAAAAAAAAAAAAAAAAAAAAAAAACACACAAACACAAACACAAACTGCAATGGACGAGACGCAAATATGCACGATAACTTCAGCCCTCATTCAATGGAAGCCAACTTCATCACAGCCTCCGCCACCTGCCCACGAAGGAGGCTCGCCGAAGAAGATGCAGGCGGCGACTCACCCAACCGACAGGCTCTGACAACCGAGCACTATAGTAAAAAGAAAAATCGCATCACGGCTCTCGATGGCTAGTCATAAAAAAAAACCAACCTTGCACCCGCTCAGAATGGACTGCACTGCATTTCGCCCGCGCCTAGCCTGCGGCGTTCCTTCCTGCTCTCTGGCTCGCTCTCGCTCTCGATCTCTCCCTATCTGCCGCTCAGCCCGCAACCCTCCGCTCCCCAGACAGCACCATCATCACCAAAGCAGCGCTTTGGCACCCGAATCTTGACCAAATTGTCGACACACACATCGGCAGCTAATAAGCACCACCTCCTCCACCACCATCATCCGCCTCATCATCATCACCATCATCGTCAGTTATATAGGATGGGCCCAGGATGGCAGCAGCGGCAGCATCTATGGCCCCCCATGTATCCCCGTCAGGCGCGGACTTCTCACGAGAGGAAGGGGACCGACGGCCACGAGGACGACAATGCTGCAGCCTCCTCCTCCTCCTCCTCCTTCGCAGCCTGGACTACTACGGCGACGATGACGATGACGACGACTACTACTACTATCACTACCCGTGGAAGAGTCCTGTCCAGATAGCGTGACCTGCTCGCTTCGAGAGCGATGAACCAGGTCTTGTCCTCTGACACCTCCCCATCTCTCTCTCCCTTACTTCCTTTCTTCTCTGTTGCCACCGGCGCCCTTGCAGTGCAGGTCAGCAGGAAGAGGCTGCAATTATGCCGTGCCTCCGTCGCCAGGCTCCATGTTCTTTTTCACACCTCTTCCCTCTCGCTATCTGTCTTTCACACAAGTGTGAGGATTCGACAGCCCAGTGCTCAGGCAAATTTGAGTGGGACGTATTGCATATAATTGCCTTTGTTTGGATTCACCTTTGTGGTTGGGGTTGGGTTGATTGTTTTTATGGGTGAGGCCCGAGGAGGGAGGGAGCATGCAGGAAGTGTGTGGGGTGAGGCCGGTTTGAGCACACATGTGCCGTGACTGCATGGGAGCTGCAGTGGCAGCAGCAGCAGCAGCAGTGGACTCCCAAAGGCAGCAGCAGCATCACCCAGGACTGGGCTTTGGATTGAGCTTGTTCTGCTGGCTGCTCCTGCTGGGTGGCACACAAGATGGCCATTCATTCTCCACACAAGTAGAGTTGGTTGCATCCCCTGCCCTATGATTTCCCCCCACCCAGCTCAGTTCAGTTTAGCCCAGCCCACACACTCCCACTCCCCCTTGATGGATTGGGATGGGATCCCTGCTGCTACTTCTGCTCCCACCGGCCACTTCATGTGGGTTGCCTGTCCCTCCTCTCCCTCTCTCTCTCTTTCCTTTGTGCTTCCTTCCTTGCTTCCTTCCTTTTCTCCACTCTTTCCCTATGAATGCTGTTGAGGCTGTGAATTGATGGTGTTTGCCCCTGCCTTGCTAGCTGGATGTTGCACTGTACCTCCCCCACAGTTATGGGCCCTTCTCTTTGAGAGACACTGTGCTCACAAACATATCTTCTGGAGCCTACAATGATCTGTTACAACACTTGTCTGATTACATAATCCTTGGATGTCATTGTCTTTATGCAGAGTGTAATTATGTGAATTATTTCATGATATCCTGTATTATTTCTCTTTTGCACGTAATTTAAGCTTCTTAAAGAATTGAGAAGTGATCTATATTGAATCACATCCTGAGAGTAAAACTATTTAAATAAGATAAAACTTTCACGAATATGTTTGCTTCACTTGTCAAGTGTTCACTTTATATTTCAATTTATGATCATTTCTCAAAAACAATTCACAAACTAATTACAGGTTAAAATATGAATCAAACAATAACACATGTATGTATATAAACATAAACGACAAATACTTGGTTGATGTACAGCATAACCATGTATATGCATACATGTTTAGTTAGTTCACCTACTGAAAACAAGTAATAAATTTATGGATTTTAACCTCAATTCAAAATTTGAATCAATCTTGATTCGTATGCCAAACAGTCATTCAAGTACACTCAAAGTATTTATAAATATTATTTTCATGCTTTATGTATGTGTAAAATATTTTCCAGAAGCATGGAATCACGTCTTTGTTTTGTTCCTCTTTTCACTTTAATGTGTTTTTTGCTGTAATTCTATTACTTTTCTTTATGGGGAAGGGAGTGGTTGTGTCAAAGGGAAGAGAATAGAAAGAAGAGGGTTGGATTGAATGCCAGGGTTGGATAGAGAAGTCCAGTCAGCATTGTCACAAACGCAATGCTGTGTGCTTGAAAAACTTCAGCACTCATATATATATATATATATATATATACTCACACATAAACACATACCTACGTACATACACATGGTTGGTCTGATAATGTGAATAGTGGATGTGGCTCACAGAGCCATAAACAACTACATTAAAAGTAGTAGTTATGTGTGGCAGAATTGAATAAAGTATTTTCCAATGCATGGGGTGATAATTTCCTACCTGGGTCAACTCTCCACAACACCAGAGTTATTATTATTATTGTCCTCCAGAATGTGGGTGTGCAGCAGCAGATACCAGCCTGCTGCATAGGAGGAGGATGGGGGAGGGGGGGAATGAATAAGGGTGGTAGAAGCTTCCAATCCTAATCTGCCCAAGCCTGCATGGTAGGTACGTAGCCAGGTGTGGGCGGGCGGAACACTGCAAACCTTGCAGCCAGTAACCACTTGCCCCACTCCTTTCCCCTAATCTGAACACGTCAGCAGCAGCAGCGTCGTTTTTTTTAATTTTTTAATTTTTATAAACAGGGCTCGAATGCTCCCACCACTCCCACTGCAGGAAAGCAGAAGAAGGAGAAAAACTGAGTAAAGAGAAGAGGAAGAAGGGGGGGAAGGGGACCATGGATATTTACCCTCTCACACTCTCATTCTCTCTTCCAGTCTCTCACTCGCAAGCGACAAAGGCAAAGGGAGCATAATCCCCTCCCCATCCCCCAGATCAAAGCAGGAAGAAAACGATGATGATATTAAATAAATTAATAAATAATAAGTAATAATCCTGGTCTTCTTCCTAATAATCTCTTTTGCTGTTGCAACGGTGCGCACGTACATGCACAAAAACACTCTGACACATACTGTAACGTACCCACCTCTCCTCTGACTCACTCACTCACTCACTCACTCGGCCACGTCATCCGACCATCCTGACACGCACGCACGCACACACAAACACACATGCTCTCTCTTCCAGTCGGGCAGGGCAGGGCAGGGTTGGGCCGGGCAGGGGGCCTCTGTCCACGTTGGCACTCGATCATTCCAGTCACAGGGTGGGGATGGGGTTGGGAACCATCCATTGCTGCCACGTAGGAATTTGATTAGTTTTTCTGGCTCTCTTTTTCTACATGGATGGATGTATAAGTATGGATGGATGGATGTATGTGTATGGATGGATGTATGTGTATGGATGGATGTATGTGTATGGATGGATGGATGTGTATGGATGGATGGATGTGTATGGATGGATGGATGTATGGATGGATGTATGTGTATGGATGGATGGATGTGTATGGATGGATGGATGTGTATGGATGGATGGATGTATGGATGGATGTATGTGTATGGATGGATGTATGTGTATGGATGGATGAATAGTGGATAGAAATCAGATACCCTTTCACACACAACAAGAAGAAGAAGAGGAACACTTGACACAATTTTTTTATTATTATTATCATTGATATTATCTATTAACACTGATGAATATAAATTCTAGCACTTAAGTGTGTTAAGAATTCATTGTAATAACACATTCAATAGACATATTTTGGGATAAATATACTAAAGAGGAGGAGTGTGAGAGAAGCTAGATGACCACATCTAAAGGGAGTTGATGGATGGAGCAATGGCATCCAAGATACTCTAGCTGCCAAAGTTAGGGTTTATATGATTTCATCTCATAGTAAAAATTAATCACATAAACTTATACTTCTCCCTAACTTCTCTTAATAGTTATCAATTCAATCTAATTAATTTTTGATTGGTTGTAGCCTTTTCTTTCTTTCAAAGATTGGATTTTAGTTAAATCAATCATTAGGGTTTACTTTGGGTAATAGGATTTAATCATAATGAAGGAAACAAATACCAATTTTGAAAAATGCTTGTAAGGGTATTTGCAAAAATTCTCAATACTAACACAAATGAATATAATAGAGATTAATAAGAAACAAGATGACATTATTTGTACATATTATACAAGATTTGATGTTGGTAATCTCACATGATGAGTGTGTAGGTGATATATTTCAAAGATAAAAAAAAATAAAAAAATAAAAAAATAAAAAATCATCATAATTATTAACATACTTATTAATTTAAAAAAATTAAAAAATATATTATCAAAGAATTACCAACAACTATTTTTAAAAAACTTTAGAAGTTTGTCACTTTGCAACTCTAACCATGTCTTTAAAGATGATGCCAATCTTGTTAGTCAAAAAATGAGATATTTAGTAAAATATATTGTTATTGTCAAATTTATAGGAATTGAACCAAGTAATATGATATTTAAAGTATAATTTGATAATCTACAAAGAAAAGTGGACCATTCTTGGAAATTAAAATATAATTTAGATTTTTTTTAAAAAACTAAATTTTAATTTAATTTTATTATATATAAATGTAATACAAAAAAATTATAACTATTCAATCAATACAAAACTATTAGGTGTATTTATATCATATAAGTGTAGTAGCTATATATATTACTCAAATAAATTATATATATATATATATATATATATATATATATTACTTAAATAATATTGTCTTTAAGAAGTTTTTCAAAATGAAAATTAGTTATGTAGATTTTTATAGATATGCCATATCATTATCTAAACTTGTCTTATAACTTACTTACTTTTAAGAGGTGACATTAGAAGCAACCTACAACTTGATACTTAGGCCATAAATTTGGTGATTTCTAGGGAGCTTCTAAAAGATCTTTTTAAATAGCTACTATATATCTATAGTTTCTTTCTATTTTATATCTATCTCTTATTTGTTTTTTTTCTTTCTTTCAATGACATTAGAATGTATTGTCTTTTTAGAGCTTTCTCTTGATTAATGTCTTTGATGACAAGAATGGATACTTAACTTTAAAAAAATTATTAAAAATATTTTTACAAAGATACTAATATTCTAATTTTAACCATATTCCAAAAATTCCTTCAATTTATTTTGGTTTTAAGTAGTGCCACTCATTATATATTTTTATATAAAGGGTTCATTTTAAAAACATTATATTTCATTAAAACTTATTACTATAGAAACTAAGAATTTATTTTAAAAATTATAGAAAATATTGTAATTAATTCTCATTTGTTGACATAAGATAATTTTTATTTTGAGGTAGAAAATTTTAAAATTATTATTAAATGGTAGAAATCCTCAAAAATATTAATTTAGTATGAAAGTAGATAAAATTGATCTAAAGAAATTGATTTCTTTATAATACTTATAAATATTTAAAATCCAATTCAAAACTAATAGCATATTTAATATATTCTAAAAAAATCAATCTATAAATATATAATAGTTGGATTTTTAATCTATATCCAAATGATTTTACAATCTTACTTAAAGACCAAAATACTATTTTAAAATTATTAAATTATTTAATATACTTTTGAATTTAAAAATTAGCCACTATATGATGTATTAGAATCTTTGAATTATTTTTAAGTAATAATAAAAAAATTAACATCCAAACTAATGTTTCTTAAAAAGTTTAAGCCAATGTATACAATAAGGAGACATCAATCTTTTAGACTTGGCAAAAACTATTAATACCTTAGGAGTAGGATAGATATTTGATTTTTTTTTAATCTATGGTAGTTCTTTTACATTAAAAATAATTCAATAGACATTGTAAATTAAAAAAAAGAAAAAAAAGAAAAAAACCAAAAAACCAAAAAACCAAAAAATTAAAAAAAAAAAGATGGTGACTTGATAAACATTAGATCAATAAAATTTTGTCAAAATGTTCTTTAAATTTAAAGATTTGGATGAAATTTTAGTACCACAATCTTTAAAAAGAACATGTTTTGCTTAGATAAGTCTAGTTTATAGCAAATCAAAGACTTGTGGTGCAATTGGTCTAATAAGTAGATACAACAAAAAGAAACTCTAACTATGACTAATTTTATTTTATCTCAAAAATAATACATCTAGAAATTAACTCTACCTCTATCTCAAACTTTCACATCATAGATTAAAATTTTTCAATAAGATTTTTAAGCATTCAGATCAAAGACTAGAATTGTATATACATACATCCATAATACACACCTCCATGAAATGCAACTATATCCTATTTTCTCAAGCAATGTATAGCACACCCCAAGTTGGCATAGAAATGCATGGAACTTGCTTGTGATCAAACTAAAGGGATGGGATGGGATGGGGGAATATTCCCTTATTTTCCTGCTTTCCTTCCTTGCTTCCTTTCCTTTTCATGGTGGGTTGTGGGGTGGAGAGCTTTGTCCTGCTTTCAATGTTGCCTTGAATGGCATCAGACCAAGTCATTGGGTGATGGTGGTGGTATTAGTTGTAGTGGGGTATCAGAAAAGAAGGGAAGAAATGGAAGAAAAGGAAAAGGGGAGGGAAATGAGGGAGGGCGAGCATATCCCCCCCTCCCACACTGAGAGAGAGCGAGCGAGCCAGCGAGCGAGAGAGCCCTGCATCCAGCCCTGCATCCAGCCCTGCATCCAACCCTGCATTCAGCCCTGCATCTGGTCCCGACACCAGCAACGAGGAGGAAGAGGGAGGAGGAGGGTGACGCAATCATGCACACCAATCTAGCTCAAGAGAGATAACGAGAGGGAGACTGAGGGGCTCAGAGATCATCCCCCACGTCCTCCTTCATTTTTATATATCACAGAAAAAACCCAACAAAGATAACTAAAAAAAGTAGAAGTAGAAGAGGAGGAAGAAGAATGAAGTGCATGTGTGAGAGAGGCAGAGAGAGAGAGAGAGAGAGAGGTAGAAGAGAGCTGCTGCTGGCTCGGGTAGGGGGGGAGGGAGGTAGGTGGGTGGGGTACTTTTCCCAGGTGGCGCTGCGGAGGAAGATACGGAAATCCCCATACAACAAAGCATTCATTCATTATTCAATTGTGTGTGTGTGTGTCCTCCAGGACAGGCCATCCATCCGCCTCTCGCCACGCCTGGAGGCCATCGCCGCTCCTCGTCAATAAATGCCTCTCCTCCTGCGTCAGGGCTTTGCCAGGCTCCCTCCCCAACCCCATCTCGCCAGGGCCGATCCCCACCCTGCGGCGCAGCATGACATCACCGCTCTCATGGCTCCCTCGCTGCCTGGCTGACTGACTGGCTCGAGGAGCGAGGAGGGTGGGACGGAAGAGTCCAGCCAGAGACGGAGGATCCCCACAACTCCCTCCTCTTCCGCCTCCTCTTCCATTGCTGAGTGATTTCCTCTCCTGCTCACAGCCCCCCTTCTCTGCTGCAGGGATCTCTCGGTGCCTCCCCCTCGTTCCTCCTTTCCACCACTGCACCACCACCATCACCATCTACAACAACCACAACAACAACACCAACCAGCGTTATCCTCTGCACTTCTTCGGTGCTGTTTCAGAGAGTGTGGGTGAAGAAATGCAGAGCTCTAGATGTGGTGAAACGTTTCCAGTCTCAGTTCGTGAGGATGACCTTGCTCTCACTTTGCATGCTGCAATCCTTAGCAAACTGCTCATGGTTGAAGAAATTAAAAAGTACCCACAAATCCTACATTCTATTTGACTATTCTAAATTAATAAAATAATAATAATGTGCTTCTCAAGCAATTGTGTGGGATCCATTGTGGCATCCATGAAGTAATTGTGCTGGTTATAATATTTGTACATATTGGAATCCACAAAACCCACCATCAACGAAAATCCGTTTACTAGCAATGTTTGTGTGTGTGTGTGCTCTTTCACGTGTCAACTCCACCTCCACGAATACCCGTGAAAGGAAATGAAAGAAACCAGCTATATTTGAATAAGATGTAAACGAAAATAAATAAATTATATATATTTGTTATGACAGAGAGCCAGAACTACTATTTAAACATTTTAGATGGGTTTTGGCAAAAAATAGCAGAGATAAAATGAAAAGAAATCTAATATTTTATGATGAAAATGCTATCTTTTTAAAAGGAGGTCCACCAACCACAATTGTGTGGAGGTTCCTTCCAAGTTGAACCTAAGACCAAACATTTGATTTCAAGTAGGATATTTATAACTTAGTGTATAATGTTGGCATCAAAGGCAACTACTGATCTGTTGTGAATTATATGAAACGTGTGCCTGTCTTGAAAATTAAGAGGTACTATTAGAGTGAAAAGTCCATTTACTTTCTTAAAAGCTTGTTGCAGCATTATTTGTGTTTTTGCTGCCATGCAAAGCATTTCACTGCAGCCCATTTTAAATTTAGATTTTTTATTTTTATTTGAGTAATTTTATCATATGTATAATATATTTATCTTCAATTTATTAAAACTTTCCTTTGAAAGAATAATATTATATATAGCTTTAAAAAAAATTAGAGTTCAATTTTATTTTTTCATATAACATGTGAAGAATAACTTCAAAATAATCCATAATCAACTATGTATAATTCACCAACACAAGAAAAAGTTCCCTTTCTGGAAAATTAGTCTAAAAAAAATAATTAATTAAAAAAAAATCTATAACGTAAATTAGATTTTTTTAAAATAAATACTAATGAACAAATGAGTAGAGTCTTTTTCAAGTCATACACGAATGTTCCATAGGTTGAATTGAAAAGCAGTGAGTGACATAACCTATCTGCTATCAGTGTTGCTTTCCTTTCTACACTTCTAATGTTTGGCATGGCACTGTAGAATTAGAATTTATGTAACACTAATAAAATGAATACCATGAGGTAGCACACAAGTTATTGCCATGCTACAATGAAGTTGTAGATTGTGTACCTTTCCATGAAATTGCTTAGAAGCAAAACTTGAACAGTAATCCTGTCAGCAGTGATCAAGATGCATGGACCACATACATAATTCTGCACCACTGCTCACATGCATCTGGAATTGCTACTACTTGCACCCTGAAGTAAGGTCAGCACACAGTCATTCCCTGCTTGTATCTCTGTTCAGTGAGATTACACACCAAAAGAAGCTCAAACAGCAAGTGACCCCCAGTGCAGGCAACTTGATAATCAAGACAGGTGCCTCTTCCCACTGATCCTCACCATCACACCTTGCAGTGCCATTCAGGAAAACCACACACTCCCCTCCCTACACCCCCAGCCTCCCCAAAGAAAGAAAGATAGAAAGAAAAGAAAAAGAGAAACTTATTTGTCTTCACTGGTAAAATATAATGTAAGGAACACCCCCCCAGTTCCAAGCATAAAATTCCACATTTCAAAATAAGGATGAACTAAATCCAAGCCAATTGAATAAGTTCGAGAACGGGAGTAAATTCTTGCGAGAATTACTGGATGATGTTCGAACTGTACGACAGTCGCTCCACTCCACAATCAAATTTGTATTTTACTTTCATAAAAAAAACTCGTGAGAAAGAAAGAAGACAGACGAAACATAAAAAGTTTGCAGAAATCAGGGAGGAGGGAGGAGGTCACGGCATTGATGGCTGAGGAGATGAACGTGGGGAGGCTGATGCACGTGAGAAGAGGGCGCTTCCACACGTGGGAAGTAAAGCATCAGCGATATGAGCGACACAGTCCTCGACTCGTCTCCCTTGTGTGGGTCAGCTCTCCCCTCGCTCTAGCCGTCAGCCTCTCTCTATCTCTCTCTCTCCCTCTCTTTTCACGTCTAGCTCCTACTGTTGTTTTATTAACTGCGCACTCGCCCCTAATTACCTGCTTTAGTCTTACGTGGTCATCATCACTGGGTCATCACTATCAGCTTGTTCCAGATGCCCATCAATCATCATCATCACCCTCTTGTGTTTGCATGTGTGCCATCAATTTAGGCATGCTGCAGCTCCCCTCTGGTCTGTTTGGCAAGCTGGAGATCACAATTTGCGTGGGCTACAGTGTGTCGTATTCTCAACAGCGCCTCGCGATAATGTAGCTTTGAGTGGATGCAAACTCAAGTCCGGTTGTGGCTTTGCATTAGAATATATAAGCACCGATAAGAAACAATGTTAATTATAGGGAGTCTAAACTTATTTCCTCCATCCCGTATCCATGACCAGTCCACTTCTCAAACGAAGCACTACAGGCATCAGATATTCTATGTGGCACTCCATAAAACACACAACGTAAAAAGAGCTTCCGGATGTTATTAGGTGCTCGGAAAATTCGTCTACAGTCAATGAAGGTGATCAATAATAAGAGGAGAAATATCACTCGAGACTACACAGGCGAGGGCGTCGTAAGCATTCTTCCCATTCATGAGTAGCTGACATAAACAGCGCATGCAAGAAACAGTATATGAGATTATTGAACCTCTACGAACACCAACATGAATCAGATTGACGTCTGATCTGAGAGCGCCAATTCTTGCTGTGTAATCAGTAGATGTAAGCGCATCTCCAATTTCGAATATTCGGAAGTAAAAGAACCTCTTTAAACAAGAAACACTGAGGTCGGCAAGATCTCAATACACAGTGATCTTCAAATGATAATCTTCAAGACGCATGTGTCAAGGTCGCTTTTGACCACATCCATGGCACGCACCAAGCCATCTAGATTGCAAATGCATGTGCTACTTTAAGAAAATAGACTAGGGAGCTACTCCCTCATGAGATGGCGGTAAGATCTACCTCGTACCAAACGGTGCCATTTAAATCTCAGATTATCCGATGACTCTAGATACAGCTTCTCCTTTACAAACCTGCAGCCAAAAATTGTCACTGACTTAAGGAATTTTCTTTCTTCTAATGTACATGGAGTTATGAAACCATTTAAATTGAGAAGTTAACAGAACTGAAATAGTACCAGCGAGTCAGGCACCGGAGAATGCCACGAGAAGTCGGTCTCACGAACGGAGGAGCTCGTTGTTGATAAAGTAATCCCACCTGCCAGACCAAACATATCCCAATGATCCTCACGAGACAAGTTGTAAAGTACTCATTTTATGCATCGACTAATTGTGTAAAATATAAAGACCAGAATTCAGTAAGTGCAAGCCAATTTACGAAAATCCTTGATATTTGTACCTGTATAAGGGCACGAGCTGCTGGATCGTCCAAGAGTTCCATATCACCACCAAGATAGTTCACCTGAAAAATCAGCTTTTCAATTAGCCACGCCGTTACAAGAGATTGCTTCAACACTAGCTAGACAGGTCGCACAAAACAATACGAAGTTTCCAGATTGGGCACCATACCCCGAACTCTGTGCTTGTGAAGGCCTGAACAAAATCCACCATTTGTATTCTTGCCCAACGTTGTCGCTGCTGTTTATCATCATTTCTAGGGAAATCTCTCCAGGGTGCACCATGTTGAAGAAGATTACCGTCGATGTCTCCCTTCATAGCTTTACTAGCAAATTGTTCCAATAACGCTAGTGCTGCATCCATCGCAGGGTCAACTGCCGTAACCTGCACATCAGAAGGAGGAGCTCGGAACTTAAAAAACCAAGTCCTTTGCAGAAAAAGAAGAAGAAGAAGATATATCAAAAAACACCAACACCAAAGTTTATTCCAAGAAAATACAAAACGCGATTAGAAGTGAGCATGTATTCAGAATACCAGCACGGCTATCCCAGTCCTCTCCTTTCCACGACTGGACGATGGTAATCAAAGAACCAATGACAGTCTAATATCTTCAGGAGTTAAAGTGATTGAAAATCCCTAAAACCTAATCTGAACGATCAAATTTATTAATAGGCAAATTCATGTACCTGTAAATAGGCTAAGTAAAGGTCAATGCAATCCTCGATATCCAAATCGTCATTTTTCATGCGCCTGGAAGAGAACAACGAACATAAGTTCATAAGAAATAAAAGTTAGATCAGGTTATATATGGTCAGGCCATGATTATGAATGGAAAGAGACCTGCCTATGTACCTAACTTTTCCCAGGTTTCAAATCAAAGATGAAGTAGGGGTGTGCGTACTCGGAGAAAGCTTTGCTGTATCGAAGTTGTAGAAGTTCCACAGAGTGTCGTGGGTTGGATCCTAACACTGCCACAACCACTTTCCACTGCAATGGATATCAAAATCTCCTTCTAACCTTCCCAACCAAGTCCCAAACTTCTCCTATGAATGTAATCCACGCAACAAAGTTGTATTCAAATACATATGTGCTCTAACTTTTCAACGTCATAATCCTAACCTCATTACGTTGTTAACGTAATTATCTGGCGCACTCCTAAGGATTGAGAACAGCAGTAAAAACAGCATAAGAAGCGTACACTTGTACCTCATCAGTAGTATACACACCAGGAACTAAATGAAGAGCAGCTTCTTTAGGTGTCCAACCAAATATCTGAGCATGTCGGAGAAAGCATGAAAATAAAATCCATTTTAAAAGCATAGTAAGGGGAGATTTTTTTTTTAATAATAATGATAAATAATAAAAAATTAACGTCTTTCAAGAACTTCAATGACCAAGAGGGTCCTTCATCCAAAGCCATCCAATGACATGCAGTCTTTCATGACACAAATGGGCAGTTTGCCATGTCTAATCAAGACGAATATGATCACTTTGCAATCCTCCTGCTACTCCCAGAGCAAATCTCGTCTCCTGTAACGTTAATCCAAATACTACAGCATAAAATGAATCGCGTGAAGGGTCAAGAATGTACCTCGCTAGAAATAAATGCGTCTGTACTGCCAAAGTCATCACCTAGTTGCCACGAATAATAGCTGAATGAAACACCCCAAACAAGAATTCAATCACTAATGGAGCCACTTCACGTAAACAAAATAGCCAGGCTAAATACAGTGGTAATACACATAATTATCACAGTCAGGTTCCTTCAGGGTGCACGTGTTCCTATTTCACAAATCAAAAATAGTTGCAAAGACAAAGACGACCAGCGAATTGTATACCTGTCTGATGATACTAATATGACCGGGAAAGATCCTTGAGTGAGACTGTTGTTAACAAGCTGCAGCAGAAGAGCATCATGGTATGATGAACCATCCGTACATCCCATGTCCGAGGAAGCATTACGCAAAAGCTCTATTCCATTGATCACCAATTTAGGCTGTGCAAGTACCACTGAAGTTAGTGTTTATCCTGCAGTCAGCCACCCAATAACTTCTAAACAAACCCCGCAGATGATAATTCACGTCAACCGCGCAAGTTGACTTCAAAGGCGTGAACGAGAAAAATTAGAGAAGATGTGCATGACTCATCAACCTGAAATAAGCCTTCTTGAGTTGCTGAGGAGACCAATTCCAGTAGAAGGGAAGGCCAACTCACAACCGCATCAACAAGACCCTTTGAAAGCAAGCCCTTTTTTTGACGATCAGCACCAGCTGCAAGCCTCCAATTTTCTTGAATTTGAAGTAAATGCTTAGCAAGAGCCAAGGATAATAATGCTTTTTCCTTCGCATCAATCTGTACATTCGCACTGTTTTTGCCCTTTTTCCTGTTATTTCCATTGGATAGAGTTGCTGTAATATCTAAAGAATCCGCAACTGAATTTTCTAGCACTGCATGCAGGACTTCATTGATGCATGTAATTTCTCCACCCTGAATAGGGTGACTGTCAACTCCTAGCGCCCTTCTCATATATACGAGAGCATGCTGCCACAGATGCTTCAGTTCACCACTACTTGACAATGCAGAGGATCCAGTGCCTAGTGTTCGATCCGAAAGGAATTCATATAATGCACCATCAACCGTATGACGATCTGTAAGCGCATCAAAGACGTTCTTGTTCTTTAAACAACCTACTTGAACAGCCCGAATTGCCAAAGACTCCAGACCCTGCTCTAATTTTCTTCGAACCCAGTGCAAATCACTGCCACCTTGACTTGTGGGGCCTGCTGTAGTGCTACTGGGAATTAAGGTCCACGGAGGAATGCACTTCCCTTCACTACCACCTCCGAACTGAGCATACAGATCCACGTAGGCAGTGGAATGCGGATCCCTGCTCCACTCTTCAAGCAGTCCTGCAATTCAACCCTGTGACGAATGAAATTACACCTCTAACATGGCTGCAATATTGCACTCCGCGAAAATCCTGATACCGCACAGTATTCGAGATTGGTCCCACGCGAATGAGACATAGTGCGGTGGATACACTTCACATCTTTCTAGTAGAAGTTTAGAATGGAATTCAAGAACTCCAATCAAGCAGACTATTGCTACAGATTCCATCCATTAACCAACAAATCTGTACCATCGTCTAATTACAAGATAACAGACCTTCAACAAGAGTGCGTTTTCCCACCCCTCGAGGGCCATGCAATATAAAGGGCTGCGGTACCACCGCATTTTGAGCATAGCGACGCAGCTCCATGTCCACAAAAGGGCGGCGAACAACTCTCCATTTAATGTCATCCAAAGCAGCATCCTGTTGGTGATGAACCAGCGTGCTCAAATGCCGTAACACCGTGTCCAAGGATAAGTCTCCAACCCCCTACATTCCAAAATTCAACGCCTTCCTTTGAGTTTCTGATTGATCAAAAACCTAAAAAAAAAAAGGAAAGTTAAAATTGCTAACAACACGTCCTACAAAGAGCATCTCACAGTGGCTGCTGAAAAAACCATTGGTATAATAAAATCTACGGGCACGAAAGTATTTTTTCCCGAAAGAACTAAAATTCTAAGCCCTTGGAATTTCGAAGTGACACGTATTTAAAATAAAACTTCTTGACTCGACATGCAATTTGACGTAAAACTATAAATTTGAGCAGCTCTGTCCTACCCGTAACAAATTGAATATCGAAACTAAGCTCATTCTTCCACCAGAAAAAATAAAATAAAATCTCACACTAGCAATCAAACTGAAGACAAGAGCAAAAACCCTCAATACGCTTTGAACCTACAGAAATCCCTTTGATACAAAATCCAAGCACTCAACCAATCCAATATTTTCCAAACCTCTGCGCATGAATGCACCTGAGATCGCCGGTAAACAAACAGATTAGCCAGAGTGCGCGTCTGTGCCAGCACTCTTCTACCCCCGGAGGCGAGGCACTGGCGCACGGACATGGCTCTGTTCCTCAATTGGAACCAGCTCTTTTTTTTCTTCTTCCGATAAGAGATTTCAGCTCCAAAACACTCGCAGAAGCAAAAATTCCGCAGCAGACTCCCTTGTGCTCGCGTGTGCCATGACCGAGATACAATGCGAATTGCGACGTAGCAAGAATCACTCAGTGCACCGCATCGCCCCCGCACACTCTCTCTCTCACACACACAAGCAACGGGGGTTTAGGATTTTAGGAGCTTCGACGCACGACGTCCCCACTTCATTCATCCCTTCTTTCTTCATTCATCTTACTTCTCGTAGCTGATACTCTACATTAGTGGATGAATGGCGTCTCTGTGCATTCATCGTGAGGGAGTGTCCTGTGAGAGAAAAAGCCGGCGAGAAAAAGAAAAAGAAAAATTGTCACCAAATAAGAATTGAAATGAAAGTATAAAATGCATGGAATTTCTTTCATATTTATTAACATATATATATATATATATATATATATATATATATATAGATTTTTTAAAACAGGATGCTTGATGTGTTACTTAACTCTGAGTGTTTCAACATGTTGTTCAATTCTATGCACATGTAGATGGCAATATTAATAAATTTTAAAAATTTTAAAATTTTAAAAATCGTACATGTAACTGGTCTATCACCAAACTAATAAAGATCTCATTTAATGATTTATTTTCAATGGAAACCGAATAATTTATTTCTAACGATAATTAATTAAATGACAATTCATTGTTTCCAATCTAAATGTTAATTTTCTTTGGTGTTAATTTATTTATGTTATAAATGATTTTGAAAGTACTGTAAATAAGTTCTTATTTTGATATGTTTATTCTTTACTACACTATATTAAATTTAAATAAATATTAGTGTTGATTAAAAAATTTGGCAAATTTTACAACAAGCTCCAGTATCAATAGTAATAAATAATCGAATTAAATTAAATTAAATTAAGACATCAAAACCATATATATATATATATATATATAGATATTCAAAAAGTGATATTTTCCCATGCTCTACTACAATTATTTATACAAGAATCGGGAGCCTTTGCTTGATGATTAATATGTGAAGCAATTTACTTGTGCACAATAATATACAATACAACAACAAATACAAAAGTAAATAGTATAACCAAGAAACATGAAAACACATTCACTTACACCACACAAAATGTAGTTAAATTATTAACTCAAATCTAAATAAATGCTTAACATTTTATAACACACATATAGAGGAAATTTTAAAAATAATAATAAATAAATAAGAGTGCAGCAAAATATAAATAAAAATATAACTATATCATTCTTATGGTTTTGGTGTGTTTTTAATTTTTTTATATTTTTATTCATTCATACATACATACATACATATACATATATTTATATATTTATAATACAAGTAGGTATTTTCAAGTTTTGTTTAAAAAATTCTAATAAATAAATCATATACTTTGTTTAAAAAGTATTTTATTGTTTTAACAAAATTTATTCTATAATTTTTTTTAATGTACTTACACATTCTAATCTATTATTGTGATTATGATTACTCTTATTTATTTTGATTGATGATATGAAAAAATAAGATGTCTTATTAACAAAAATATCATGTAATTTAAAGTTTTTAAAATTAAAATTTTTTATTTATTACTTTTTTAAATTATTGGATTATAATTTTATAAACCAAGTAAGTATGCTTTTAAATCTTATAAATTCAAGCACAGAAGAATATGACATTAAATGAATAATAAATATTGGTGTATTAAGGTTGCAAGTTTGAATGTATGATTTTATTATTTATTTCTTTGTAGTTCTGTATTTTTATTACAATTTTTTGTGGATCTTTGGCCTTTATTTATTTATTTATTTATTTATTTATTTTTACTTACAATGTCCTAAGATTCACAATAAAAATAAAAATAGAGTATCTTTATAGCAAACTAATTTTTTCTCCAAACCAAACACAACAACTCTTACAGTACAACAATTATTATTTGATAAGTTTTTACTTGAATAACCTACAGACATAGATCAATTTCCATTGCTAAATTAACAATTGCCTCTCATGTTGATTTTGCAATATCAAGGCAAAGTATTCAAGATCATAAAGAGGTGTGAATATGCAATCATTGTTTCTTATAATACAACTACCTATTCCTTCAATATGGGTAAAGGTGGTGTTTTGACCTCCAATACTTTAGTGTTGTTATAACAAAAGGGAGTGCAACCACTCCATAACTTTTAAAATAAAATAAAATAAAAAACATAGTAGCAATTCAATTTTGTTATATATTTTAAAAACCTATGATCTAGCAAAAAAATGGGGTGTCGCATTGCAAATGATATTTTAAAACAAAGTAAATAGATGCTATTTCATCAACATGTAAAAAATTGCAATCATGCTAGATTGATTGAGATTTGTGCAACAAAATAATAAAGCATAATTGCAATAAATAGAAATTTTATTTTTTATTTTAATAAGAAGATACAATTTTTTTATAATATAGAAATAGAAATAGAAATATATACACACACACATATTAAAAGGTGTCGTTAATGCCACCATAATTTTTGCTATTGCCACCACAACTTATTTGTATTATGTTTTTAATTAATAATTTTTAAATTCATTTGATTTATATATGATTTGGAAAAAAATTTATATATATATATATATATATATATATATATATTTCATGTAGGTGGAAAATTGTGGTGGTAGTAGGAAAATTAGCAATACCCTATATATATACACATATTGGAAATAAGCTCAATAAAGCCATATCACAACAAAATTATGTGATTTACAAAAACTGAATCATTTTTTCTAGTAACAAAGTTCTACATAATGAATTGAAACCCTTTCATCTAATGAATTAAAAGAAATACAATATTATTAGAACAAAATTCTATACTACTCAACAATGCTACTGTAGCCACAAGTGTTTTGAGTTGTATTAAAGCTTCTCATGGCATTGTGGTTCTAGAGGGAGAGTGTTGATCTTAAATTGCACAAATATCTCAAATTGTTAATCACATCTGAATTTCTCCATTAAAATGTTAGAGTACTGGTTCTTTTGTTGTGAGAAAGGATGTGCAATTGGCAGTAAGATCAAAGAACTTGGATGTTCATTACAAATCAATTGCACCTTCAGGTTCTAGAACAATCTCCATGAATTGGATTATTTTATTTTATATTAATTTTTTTCTTTCTTGCTTTGACAGGCACTACACAGTGACTAATTTGTTAACCAGAAACATGAAAAAATCAAATAAAATAAATAATTCAAGAGAAAGAGGGTAAAATTTGTAAAATAAGACAACATACTTATGAGTATGGCAAAATCAAAAATAACTGCTGATATTTTTCTGTTTTTCTCACCATGCTCTCACGAAGCCACTGACGTTAGAATAGCACAAAGCTTAAAAAAAATCAAAGTGGTGAGAATTGTATTCTCCTGCCTCTACAAATCTGGGCGAATCTCCTATTTCACGATGACATTCATTTGAATAATACAACAAAATATAAATTCAAGTGAACCCAAATGGGCAGCTTTGAATAACCAGCAAGGGAAGAGGAAGAAAAGGGGAGATCCGTTGGAGAGACTCATTTAAAAGTCCAAGCCTCCTGTCCATGTCATCCCGCCCACCAGTGCCAACTCACCCTTATTCCACCCACTCTCGACTTGCCACATGTGCACCATTCTCTCCGCACGAGTTGCGGTGTGGACGCATCCGCGACATGATATCGTAGATGTGTCAGATGTACAAATAACCAAGATTTGAAGAGCGGGTAGGGTGGGGCTTTTCCCTCCCCCGCGCATTTCCGGAGTGTTCTTCGTCCTCCGACCGCTGTGTGAGCTCAGCAGCAGCAGCAGCCTGGATGCGCTTTGCAATTAGACGAGGTTGGTGGACATGAACCTGGCAATGCCTCGATCACGCGCTCTCCGTTGAAGAGCTCGGGTGTGATGCCGGTTGAGCTTCAGCACCCTCCCCTCGGAGCGCTTCGATTGCACACCGACTGCGGGGGGGATGTGTAAGTTTTTGAGCAGAGAGTGCGGGTCAGGGGAGGATAACTGCGGACGATGATGACCTAATGAACGAGAAGATGGGTGTTAGCTGGAAGGAAGCGTTGAGTTGATAGTTTTGTTCTGTTTTCAATCTCTTTGCCCTTGTGTTTTGGTTTGGTTTGGTTTGTTTGTTTTTTTGTTTTGTTTTTTTTGTTTTTTGTTTTTTTTGAGCGAGGGATTCGTGCATGTGTTAGTTGGTGTTCAAGGAGGTGTGAGGGAGAGGTGATTGATGTGGAGGCGTTGGAGGGCGAGGTGGAGGGAAGTGGGAGGCCTAGAAGAAGGAGAGGAGGCAATGTGGAGGGGGACGACGAGCGGAGGAGCGGTGCTGGAGGAGTTTTGGAGTGGCATCAAGAACGGGTGGGAGGTAAGGCGCGTTTGCGATTGCGATTGCGATTGGGGGGTGGCAATTGGAGATGCTGCATTGATGTGCGGCAGATCATTGAGAGGCTTTGTGAGGTGGTGATGACATTGCGCATTAGGGACTGCGGTCTAGGAGAAAGCTCTAGCGCTGGTGTTTTGAAGAGGGAGTGTATGATTTTAGGGGCGAAGTAGAGCAGGTGCTGCTGATTGATTTCGGGGGAAAATGGTCGCCGCAGTGGTGTCTTCGTCCCCACCTTCCTCTGTAGCAAATGTTCAGGAGGCGAAAACAGGGAAGAAAAAGGAACCCGTAAATGTACAGAATTATGGAGGGCTTCCTCCGACAGAGAAGGTCAAATTGGTGCATAAACCTCGAACCATGGAGATCACATCACGGTACAAAACCGCAACTATAGCTTCTCCTACTTTAACCACACCTGCCAGTCGCCGTCCCTCACCCCTCAGGCAATCATCCCCGTCATCTCGCCAATCGTCTCCAGCTCGAAATCGGAGCTCCAGTTCTGGTTCCAGTAACGGTACAAAAGGAGGTTTAGAAAGTCACCTTCGCCATCCATCTCCTAACACGGGGCGTAGTACCAATGCACCGGAACTCACAAAGCGTGCCTTTTCAACGGAGAGGACGAGACGACCATGGCCTGCTGTCATTCCATCGGAGATCAAACCAGTCTCGACGGTCTCCTCATCGGTCGGACTCGCTTCCCTCACCAAAGCTCGTCCGCAGTCCAGAGGCCCTGAATTGTGGCCTTCCATGTCTGTAGTCAAGCAGAGTGTGGACACCAACAGCGAAAGTGCGAGTGATAGGAGTGACTGTCAATCAGAGGGGGGAAAGGAGAAAGATTTAACTAACAAAGTTTCAAAGCACACCCCAAAATCTACTGGAAGCGGAACTGTGAACGGAAATATATCTGGGTCTCCTTCTCGAAAAGGTTCCCCTATGCGGCGTCAGAGCATCGTTCAGTCCGAGAATGCGCGACCTACAGAGAATTCTCATTCCAAACCAGACCAGCAGAGATGGCCCGGGATGAGTACAGGGAAGATCTTAAATACATCCATGAATAGGAATTCTGATCTTGGTGTGGAGAAGGAACGGCCTCTTGCTCGATCTGTGGCAATGACAACACAAAGTCGTCCAGGGACCCCTTCTTCACGAATAAAGGCCACCCTTTCTCGCAGTTATAGTCGATCTGGTGACAGTGAGGGGCCTGTTGCACCGTCTGGTCAGGTAGCGCTAAGGCGCAACCCTACTCCTACTAGAGGTGGAGCGGGGACGACAGGGAGTGCAGCCCGGGAACCTGTGATCAACAATAATTGCAGTGGTAACGCCGATGCTGCCCATGTAAGTGGAAATGGCACAGGTGCAACAGACCACGCTACACATGCCCGCCGACTTTCACAGGAATCTGTTGCCACAGTCGATTCACTTTCTACACCTGCTGAAACTATGTCGGATGTTGAGAGCGTGTCTTCGGCTGGATCTGTACCCGGAAGTCGAAATGTTCGGGGAACCACTGTGCCTGCTCGTGTGTGGCAGGATACGAACACCAGATTACGACGGCTCTCTGAAGGGGAGCGAAACCGGACATCTGACGCAGCTGATCTTCCAGCAGTTGCCATTGCCCCTGTGAAGACATTCAGGCGCATGAAGGTATTGCCTCACCAATCTGCTGTGAGTTTGCTCATGAATCAGAGTATGAATCAAAGCATGAACGGGAGCACGACATCTGCGTGGGCGCTCTCTCCTGGTCGGATGTCAGGTTCTGTCCCATCAACCCCACATCCACCTTCTTCACCTTCACATTCGAAGGGTACGTCACCGCTAAGGAGATTGCCTAGCCCGCAGAGATCACGACCTGTGAATGTAGCAGCTGCAGCATTGGCAGGCACTGCTCGTAGTTTAGGAAGTACCACATTGAACTTCGGGATTGATGGTCGAAGTAGAGGGAAGAAGGCTTTGACACAACAAGAAGAAGTCCAGCTCCTGAGAATTCTTCACAATCGGTGGCTACAATGGCGTTTCGTGAATTCACGAGCTGAAGCAGTTATGAGTTCGCAAAAAGCAGCCGCCGAGGTACATGATAGTCCCACTGCCACACTCTTTTTACAATCTGATCTAGTTGGAATCAATTGCGTAGTTCACTCGCGATTCATGGCTTATGTAGACTTCTTTAGCACTCCACTTATACTTAACTTAGAATTAATTTTATTTTGTTTATTTATCTCTGAATTGAAGAATTCTCCTTGCTCATACAAAGCCAGCATGGTGTCTCCTGTGTCGAAATTGTTTGGATGAAACTAGCTGCATAAAATACTTTTATACTTCTTAGATTTTTCTACGTATGATAAATAAAAGTTCAACGTCAACGTCAACTACTCGTATTCTGAATGTAGTTTTTTAACTTGTTGGCTTCGGATTGCAAATCTCTCATTTTGCCACTCTTCTGCTCATTTGCATGGAACAGACGCTTTTATGTAAGCCCCTTCTAATTGGCAGCTGAACCTAGGGCTGAGACATTCTGCTAGAGATTCCTGTTGATCAAGTCCTTTGTAGTCTTAGAGTGGATATCACTTTAGAAACTATGCTCCTAAATTCTATGCTTCTAAACCATATGCTCCCGAGCCCTTTCACGAGTTGCTAATATGAAGGAATATTGCTTAGTTTTTATACTAATAGTTACATCCTCTTGATTGGGAGAGTCTGAAATGATTTTACGTCATTTCAGACTTTATACCAATGTCATGTGACAAAGCTTAATTTAAATAAACTAGTACTTTAGATTACATTGTCGTGTCAGCTTAAGCCATACATTCTAGATATCTGTGCTCTTTGTACAATTTATTGTTCCATGTTTCATTGAAGCTAAAACCTGGGAGTTTGATTCTATATCTTTTCTGTGGTTACAACTGAAAGGGTCTCTTCGTGCAGAATTAAATTTATAAATGGTGGTCACTTTTACAGACCATATCAGATCGTTTTCACTTTCCTTGAAAAGGTGATTTGTGCTCTGATTGAATGGGAGGGGGGATTGTGCACCTTATGTATGCTTTTTTACATCCAATTTGGATCTTGCAGAGGCAGCTGTTCAATGTGTGGGTTAAAACATCGGAGTTGCGCACTTCAGTGGCTATGCAGCGTATTAAACTCCAGCAAGCACGGCAGGCTCACAAGCTCCGCTCTATACTGTCCACACATGTAAATAATGGTCACTTGTGTCAATTCACAGTTCATACTGCGGTGTTTTTAAAATATATTTGGAGCTTTCAACAAGCGAACTTCACATCATTGAATTCAACGTTTATGTATTCTTGAAGATCTTGTACTTAGTCGTTTGAACTGAGATTCTCAAGCTCTAGTATTGTCGAGGTTGTAACGAGGCTGAGGTTTCTCTTGCAGGCAACCTATTTGGAAAATTGGAAAACCTTAGAGGAGGAGCACTCAAATGCACTAACGGGATGCATGGAAGCCCTAGAATCTGCAATTTTGAGAGTCCCAATGACAGGAGGTGCCCGGGTATGGAAGCTGTTACTTCTATCTGAGTAAATGTTAACCTTTTCATGCATGGTCTTATCTACTTCTTATGAAGGTTTAGCGCATTTTTTGAAATTTTCTTTTTTATTCTTTTTGTTATTTTATTTTCCCTCTTGGTATTTTGAGGTTTTGTGAGCTTCTATGTCTCCATCTCTGATGCCTCCGATACCCCTTATGTGAATTTTCAGGCCGACGTGCAAGCCATAAAAGAAGCTCTTAACTCAGCTGTAGATGTGCTCAATGCGATTGAAGGCTCTGTCCATTTCCTTTTACCTAAGGTGAGATTGTCAATGCACATTTCCTTTTGAGCGAACTCGTTCTAATCGTGGAGGAGATGTACTGACTTTTCATAAGAAAATGCATAAAATTCATAGCTTAATTCCCAGTGAGTTTTTGAAGCGTTTCCGTGTTTCTGAGGTAGCGTACATGCTACCCAATGCTTCTATGTACATTCAGTGTGTGAGTAGGTTCATCCACATAGTTTGAAACTGGTCAAAGCGTTCCCTAATTGTCAATCACTGCGCAGACACAGAATATGGACGCGCTATTATCACAGTTGGCAGAGACAGCAGCACAAGAGAGGGCTTTGCTAGAGGAATGTGGAGATCTCTTATCTGTAGCTGCTTCTTTGGAGGTGTACATTAGTAACAACACTTTTCTCATTCTACCTGAGTTTTACCTGTCTATTGAATGTATTATGTGACGCAGATTCTTTAAGCATGAAAAATTTCAGTTTCAACCCTGAAAATTTCATTTGTCGAGACCACCATGTTTCTATTTATTAATTCTAAGCAGATCAATTCTTGTTGTTCGTTGATTGTTGAGCAGGTGGAGGAGCGTAGCCTGCGCACACATCTGATCCAATTGGAAAACGAAAGACTAAGAGCTTCATGAAGCCACACCTGCAGACCTTGGAATAAGGATGTCTATCTCGTCATACCTGTCCACACCATCAGGGTAATCTCGTGTGCCTGATTACTCAAAGATCAGCATCGATCTCCAATCGTGCTCGCCCTTGCTTAGGAGAAACCTCCCCAGCTCGGACAAATGCAAGTTTACAAGGATGAGAACCCGACTGCGTGAGCTTCTTCTGCAGATGGATTTGTGTAGAGAAACTGGAAAGTGGGTTTGTAGCCGGGTCGCTTTTCGAAACCCATCGTCCGTCTATGAAGCTGAAGGCAAGTGCCGGAAATGCACGCTCCTATACTGTTTGGCCTCACCTTCGCCATTCAGAACAGTATTTATGTGACTTACGCCGATCAACATATGCCGTTCTTCCGTGAGTGCAGGCTTTTAAGTCGTACTTGAGTAAGAATGCCATTCTTACTGTCGCTTATTGCAAAATAACTGTTTTCAAACTGAAAAGACAGTAGAGTTATTCTTGCCCTCGCTGTATTGCTGGTTGCTAGAAAGATTCTCATATCAGTCAGGCTTTGCGAATGACCTAAATAGTGCCACATATCTCCGTTCTTTGCAAAGAACGCCAGGTGAGGAGCCCAGTCTTTTCTTTCTGTTTTTATTTAGCAGTCTTGTGCTCTCTTGTGTACAGTATTAATTTACTGGGTCCCTGTTTTTGCACTTCTTGAGCACACCTACGACTTTCTAAAGCATCCAAGTGATGTGGTGTCCTTGGAAGGGCGATGATAAAGTGACCAATCCTATGAATTTGATATTTTCTGTTGAGTTCCACATGAAATTCCAAACTCAATTTCCAGAGGATAATTTAGTACTGAGTGCAAGTTATAGCTCTCTCTTGCACAATTTATTAGAAATCTGTGTAAAATTTCTTACTTAACTTTCATTGTTAAAATCATTTCTCAAGCAATCCTCAAATTGAAAATATCTACCTGTGCATACAATGTGAAGCATTATGGTTGGTTCCAAATACTTCCCACAAGGCCTATTTGCATCTCGAGGGTGGTGGTACCATTGTTGTGAATACCTTGCCCATGGATGCACTGAAAAACTAGGTTGCTTACACACTTGTGCTGAGTCCAACTTGAGTAGTGCATTTAAGGCATTGCATACTATGACAGTTACGTATGTGGTATTTGCATTCATGGATTTCAAATATTGCAATCGAAATGACCTCAGCTATATTCATACGTGGATTAGGGTGATTATATGGCTACTCATTTCATTATGCTACACTAAGCAATAAATTTATTCAATGTTATCAAGCAAAGAAACAATTACATACTTCACTTGAGTAAAAGAATGTTGTAGTAATTGGTATTTGTTGAAAATAATTGTCATTGTAATTGTCATTGTAATTGGTATTTGTCACTTCAAGGAAAACTTGTGCATTGGTTATTGAATTTTTTTTTTTGTTGCTGAAATAATTGGTATATATAAGCTTCTACAATGGTTTTTAGGTATTATTTGTATTTGGATATTTTTTTTGTGTTACTTGGTGGGAGTGTGCATATTTGTCATTGTAAGATTTATTGTACACATCATATTTTGTTCTAGTAATTGGTACTTACAGTAGACTTTTGCTATGATTGTTGGTTGCTTCTTGTAGATGTTGCATAAGTAATTCTTTGTACACATATTATCAGGGACATACTCATGTAAGCCAATAATTACATATACAAATAGGTAGAAGTAAGTAAAAGTAGGTAAAAGTAAGTGAATTCTATAGTATTTGATATAGAAGCTTCTTAGAAGCTTCATAGACGTTGCTTTGACTTCATAGTTGTCTTTAATTGACTTTTTGGATTAGAAACGTGGTCAACAAGTTGGCCATGTGCCACACATGTTGTTAGCTTGAAGACAAAGCTAATTATGTGGCCTACACGTAGAAAAACTTACCTTGTAAGTCAAAGCATGTATCCTACAAAGTCAATACATATTGGAGGTCCTATAGAATGTCGCCACGTAGCCCCTAGTTAGATAGTATATATAGAGATAAGAGTGAAGCCTTCTTCACTCTTGTCAATTCCTTTCTTGCTTCCAGTCTAGTTTCAAGGGTCTCTAGTTTTCTTGTCTTTTAACAATAGCCATTCCAATTTCTCTTTCAATATACATACTTGTTTATTTATATTTTGTTACATTTCTTTGAGTGAAGGCTCACTTGTCTGAATTACTTTTTCATCGAGTTCTTGTCCTTGATAGATTGATAAGAGTACACCTACAATATTAGAGCTTTTTCTAATCTTGATTAAGAGTGGATTACCCCTTCTTTTTGATAAGTTATAAGCATATTAGAAGTTACGGATTACTCTTTTCTAAACTAATATTATCCTTAGTATTTTCTTTATTCTCAAGTCCTCTCTTCTATTTGTCTTGAGCGATATTAGACATCTTCTCTTTTCTAAGTGTTATCATAGCAAAACTTGTTGAAATGAAGAGTGCAATGGCACAAATGTAAGAGCAATTGTAGGAGTTAATGCTTGCAATGCATCAATTCAATTTACGACCACAAGGAGCAACAAGATTAGCAGGAAGTGAAGATATAGAAATGGTTGGAGCTGCTTCAACATCTGTACCAAATCATGTCCTTTCTCCTATGGTGGAATGTCCTTCCAGTATTAGAGAACCAAGAATTGTCCTACCCGAGAAGTTTGATGGCACCAGATCCAAGTTTCAAGGATTTATCAATCAAGTGCAACTTGTAATTGAACTTCAACCCCAAAGCTATCCAACTCTAGGATCGCAAGTTAGATTCATTGGTGCGCTTTTTTCAAGTTAAGCACTATCGTGGTTTTCATCTTTTCTTGAATGACGAGATCTAATATTGAATAATCTAGAGGCTTTTCTGACGGAGTTTCGATCCATGTATAGAGAACATAATACAATTCGTATTACGACCAATAAGATCTATATTTTACGACAAGACAATCGATCAGTAACATTGTATGCTTCACAATTTCGACAACTTGCAACTGATATCAAGTAGGATGATGCTGCACTTATTAGCCAAATTCTCTACGGATTCCAATATGAGGTAAAAAAAATTAATGCTCAACTTACCTGATCCTCAAACATTGAGTCAAGCAATTGACTTTGCTGTGAAGTGCGACATCGCCTTTTTGAATTTCAATCTGAGAATCGTACAAGTAGACCTCAATATTACTATAATTCAATGGCAACACCGATACCTCTTCAACACATACATTCGGAAGTAGAGGATATGTAAATTGATACAATACGTTTCAAACTTCTTACTGAGCAAAAAAAGACTCGTCGTCGTCAAGAAGGATTATATTTATATTGTAGAAAACCAAAAAATACTACTCAACATTGTCAAAAGAAACGACGCAACCACAAAATGAGGAATATGGCTGTGAAAGAAGACAATATGTCAGAAAACAAGTTTGTCCAGCTACAATAGGGACTGTGCGACTGGAACCTTGTACAACATCTAGTAAAGGTCCTATTCTCTCCTCAGAGCCCTCTCTTTGTTTTATATTAAATATTATTTTAGAACCTAAACATTACAAAGCTTCTGCCTTGTTAGATTCAAAAGCCTCAACATGTTTCTTCAATGAAGAATTTACTAAAAGACATATCATATCTTTAGTAAAGAAACTAAACCTGTTCATGTAAAAGTTATAGATGGTCGTCCATTGTCTTCTGGAGATATTACTCATGAAACCCTTCCTATAGAAGTAATAATCCATGGTCATAATAGCTTTGTAGTATTTAATATCATTAGATCTCCTTCTAATCCAGTCATTTTAAGTCTATTATGGTTAGAAAAATACAACCTTCAAATAGATTGGATTTCTCGAACTCTTACGTTCTCTAAAAGTATAACTAAAAATGTAATTAATCAAGTAGAGAGTCATAAGTCCAGTTCAATTAAACCCGTGTTTATAGGTGCAAAAGCTTTCTTGTATGTTGCTATGAAAGAATCACCATATATTATTTATGCCACACCTGTTTCTATTGGTGGAAAGACTTCAAGTGGCATTCCAAGCCAATATCAAGAATTTCAAGATGTATTTGAAAAAAAAAATGTGGATACACTCCCAAAACATTGTCTCTATGATTGCTCAATTGACCTTCAAGAAGGAGTACAATTGCCATTCGAACCAATCTATAGTTTATCACAAAATGAATTGACTGAACTCAAGGAGTATATTGAAGAAAATCTAGCCAAGAATTTCATACGCCATTCTAAATCTCCGGCAGGAGCAACAATTCTATTTGTGAAGAAAAAAGATGGATCATTGCAGATGTGTGTTGATTACCAAGGACTCAACAAGATTACCATCAAGAATAGGTATCCACTACCTTTAATATCTGGACTTCTTGATCAGCTAAATCAAGCTAAGATCTATACAAAAATAGATCTCCGGGGAACATACAATCTGTACGCATCAAAGAAGGAGATGAATGGAAGACTGCATTTCGAACTAAGTATGGACATTTTGAATACAATGTCATGCCTTTTGGACTTACAAATGCACTAGCAGCTTTTCAACATCTAATGAATGATGTTTTTTGAGAGTTTTTGGACGATTTTGTGGTCTGTTATCTAGACGACATCTTGATCTATTCTAAGAATCTAAAAGAACATGAACTTCATGTTCGTCATGTGTTATAAAAATTAAGAGATGCGGGACTCTATGCCAAGATAAAAAAATATGTATTCTACACTACTGAAGTCGATTTCTTAGGTTACATCATTTCAAATGATGGACTTATGATGGATCCTAAGAAAGTTCAGCTATTATATATTGGAAGATCTCAAAAACGGTAAGAGATGTCCAATGCTTTTTGGAATTTGTCAACTACTATCGGATCTTCATCAAAGACTTCTCTCAAGTTGCAGCTCCACTTACACATTTGACTTGTAAAGATAAACTCCAATGGAATCAAGAAGCGGAAGTTGCTTTTGAATCTTTGAAGACAGCGTTTGTTTCTACACCAATCTTATATCGTGTTGATTTTTTCAAAGCGTTCTTTATGGAAACAGATGCATCAGACTTTGCTCTGAGTGTGGTTTTGTCACAAATGGGAACAAATGACAAACTTTATCCAATAGACTTTTATTCAAAAAAATTCTCAATAGCAGAAATCAATTATGAGATCTATGACAAAGAACTTCTTGCAATTATGCATTCTTTTCAAGAATGGCGTCATTATCTAGAAGGTGCTTCTAGTCCAGTCACCATATATACGGATCACAAAAACCTCAAGTATTTCATGTCAGCATGCATATTAAATCGTCGTCAAGCTTGTTGGAGCATGTCTTTATCAAGATTCGAATTCATCATCACTTATTGGCCAGAAAAATAAGAAGGTTTGTCTGATGCCTTGTCTAGACATTCTTATCTTGCACCAAAAGAAGGAGATGAAGCTTTTGAGCAACGAAGAACAGTTCTCTCAAAGCCCGAGTAATTTCATCTTCAAGCAATAAAATCAACATTGACTGTTGATTTAACTCTTCTCAAGCAAGTCCAGTTAGGTATATCTTCAGACCTTCTTATTTATGATATTAAGAATAATTCTTGTAAATCTCATGATTCCTCTAAATTTGAGTTCAAGAACAACCTACTCTATTTCGAAGGACACCTATATATTCCAGAAGGAGAAGTACATTTATGTATTCTTCAAGCTTGTCACAACTTCTCAACAATAGGACATTTTAGGTACAATAAGACTTTGGAGCTGATATCTAAGAATTTTTGGTGGCCTCAAATGTGGAAGGCAGTCAAAGATTTTGTACAATCATGTGATGTTTGCTCAAGATTAAAAACTCCTCGTCATCGATCTTTTGGACTTCTTCAGCCATTACCCATTCTAAAACAACCATGGTCTTTTGTTTCTATGGACTTCATCACGGATCTTCCAATCTCAGGTTCTTATGATTCTATATTTGTTATACTAGATTGTTTTACCAAGATGGTATATTTTGTACCATGTACAAAATCTATCACATGTAAAGAAACAACTAAGCTCTTTCTTGATAATATCTATCGCTATCATGGATTACCCAAGGATATTATATCAGATAGGGGAACTCAATTTGTATTAAGATTTTGGCGGACTCTTTTCAAGATTCTAAAAATGGATATAAAACTATCTTCGATATTCCATCCTCAAATTGATGGACAAACGGATCGTGTTAATCAAGTTTTGGAGCAATATTTAAGATGTACCATTAACTACTAACAAGATGATTGGACAACTTTTTTACCATTGGCAGAGTTTGCTTAGAATAATACTGTACATTCTTCTACAAAAAAACACCTTTCTTTGCTAATTATGGTTATCATTTACGACTTGATACTTTTGACTTTTCAAAAGTTGATAATCCTACTACGAAAGATTTGGCAATTCATTTGTCAGAGCTACATGCAACGATGAAGGCGCAATTAAAAGAAGCTTAAGAACAACAAAAGATCAATGCGGATGTCTATCGAAAGGAATAACCACCATTCCACATGGGTCACAAGGTATGGTTACTTTGTTGCAATATCAAGTCTACTAGTCTTTGTGAAAAGTTGGACTATCGAAGGCTTAGACCATTTTCTATTTCTGCACAAATCAATCTAGTTGTATATTGTTTACACATATCAGAGTCAATAAAAATCCATCCAGTATTCCACGTGTCTCTTCTTGAACCATACAAGACAGTGGACATAGCAAGAAGATGACAAGCTCCACCTCCTCCTATAGAAGTAGATAATATTGAAAAGTTTGAAGTAGAAGAAGTCTTGGATTCAAAGCGACGTCAAAATAAATTAGAATATCTTGTCCATTGGCGTGGATATGATATTAGTGAATGCACATGAGAGCTTGTAAAGAATCTTGTAAATGCAGCAAAGGTGGTAGAGGCTTTTCATCAATGAAATCCATCAAAATCAAGATGAAAATCTTCTTTAGAAAAGAAACAACATCTAGGCAAGATGATATTCTACTTTCAATCCTTGTTTTTAGCTTCTTTGTAGTTGTGACGCTCAAGAGATGGAGAACCAACAACCAGTGGATTTGACTCAAGAGCCTTCATTTGCTGACTTGCCGGATGAGACATTATGATTGTCACAACCTTCAAGACGACGCAATCGAGATAAAGATCTTTAAGAACGACATATTCTTCCTCGAATAGATGGCGAGATACAATGCGTTTGGTATCACGACCTTGGAAGGGACTCTTAATGTTTGGTGATTTTACTAGAGGTAGGAACAACTCTTGATGGTGTTCCAAATATTTTATTCGAAAGAAGTTATGAAGGCCTTAACAATGATCAAATAATTGGGTGGTCTTCCCGCCTTGGTATAGGACACTACCAATGGTTGAGATGCCCTATCAATCATCTTCGAAGAGAAGAAAGATCAGAGTATGTGGCAAGTACAATTCATCACATCATAGATTTCCTCAATATATGATGACTGCTCCTCGTGGAACTCGTCTCTAGAAGGGGGGGTAATGTCACGGACATACTCATGTAAGCCAATAATTATATATACAAATAGGTAGAAGTAAGTAAAAGTAGGTAAAAATAAATTAATTCTATAGTATTTGATATAGAAGCTTCATAGAAGCTTAATAGATGCTGCTTTGACTTCATAAGTGACTTTAATTGACTTTTTGGATTAGAAACGTGGTCAACAAGTTGGCCATGTGCCACACATGTTGTTAACTTGAAGACCAAGCTAACTATGTGGCCTACACATAAAAAAACTTGCCTTGTAAGTCAAGGCATGTGTCCTACAAAGTCAATACATATTGGAGGTCTTATAGAACGTTGCCACGTAGCCCCTAGTTAGATAGTATATATAGAGACAAGAGTGAAGCCTTCTTCACTCTTGTCAACTCCTTTCTTGCTTCCAGTCTAGTTTCAAGGGTCTCTAGTTTTCTTGTCTTTTGGCAATAGCCATTCCAGTTTCTCTTTCAATATACATACTTATTTATTTATATTTTTTTTTACCTTTCTTTGAGTGAAGGCTCACTTATCTGAATTGCTTTTTCATCGAGTTCTTGTCGTTGATACATATTTAACAACTTGTGTCAAATTTTACAAAGATGAAGAATCTTGAACATTAGATGTTGTATTGCAGAAGTTGTAGCTTTTTGCTCATATGAGGCTTTTTAGATTAAAAAAATTATATTTTTTTTGAGGCAAGATTCTCTTGCTTTGTACATATCTTTGATCTTATGGAGTGTATCATAAGAATCTTAGCTTAAGAAGCTAATGCTTTCAATTATATCAAAGATATTTTTTTTAATGATAATTTAGATACTATATTATTTGAATTGGAGTTGTTATTCAATTATTTTAAAAGAAAAAAGAAAAAAGAAAAATAGTCAATTTGAAATTTATATTTGTTCTAATAATAAAAACTTAAGAAGAACAAATAAGGTGAATATGCTTAATTTAAGGTCTTACTTTTAATTTTTTAGAACTAAGATGAGTATGTTTAATAACTTATACAAAATATGTATTAATAATATTTTTCTTAAATTATATTTTAAGTTGACAATTATAAAGTAAAAATTAAATAATCTAAAATAAAAATTGTAGGATATTTCTTTTCTTTGCTACTATTCACTTATTACTTTATAATTCTAAAATAACAAAGTTTAAAGAGTTCTTATATAATAATGTTTATAGGTCATTTGTAATCAAATTCATAAAAATAGTGGATTTTAGGTTTAAATAACCATACTTATGTTGTTGTTAATTTCTTTGCATTAAAGTTACTCTTTTAAAACTAATTATATTAAAGTATTGTAGAAATAAAACAAATTTAAACATTTTAGAGTAAGTACAAAAGACGGTAGACGCAACCATCTTAAAAGTAAAATTTGTGTCTTAGTTTTTTATTGCTTGGATAAGTGATTGCTAATAAAACAAATTTGTCCTTAGAATCTTATATGCTTTAATGTTTTACTTTTCTTTATATTACATATTCTTTGTTAATAATCCTTTATAAAATTTATTTTTATTTTTATTTTCCTAATATTTTAGTGAAGTTACTAATATCTCTAAAGTTACACAAAAGTTTTTATTTATTTATTTATTTATTTATTTATTTTTATTTAAAATTTTTTTCTAACAATTCCAACATTTAAAACATACTTTATTTCTATTCCAAATATCTTTATTGGTTGTTGGAGATGTTGTTGTTGTTGTCTTCAATCTGATTGCTACATTCTTCTATATTTATCTTTAATGGTGGCTCTTAGTACAAAGATAAATTATTTTTTATTGGATTAAGTAAGTTGTCTAGATAAAACAATGTAATGGTAGGATAAATTTCAAATTAATAATGTATTAATGTATTTACTTTCTCTATAAAATAATTAGATAGTTCTTTCTCTTGCCTTTGATGCATGTTCAATAAGTATTTATTTATTTATTTATTACAAGTCTAAGTTTGTCATCCTATATCTTGATTCTAAAATAGATACAAAATTTGAGCAATTACGATGTGAGGATGAGGGTTGAACAGATTTTTCTGATGCGTTGCGAAAACCATCCGCTTTCATCCTTCATCCAAACGGAGACCAATAAGTCATCCATCCACCCATCCATGTATCCACGGCCAATCCATCCATCCATCCATCCATCCATCCTGGCACACACTCTCTCTTTCACACTCAGGCTGTGAAGCGAGCAAACAAGCGCAGGGCAATTTTCTCCGTTCTTCTCAAGACTTGAGGGTCGGAGCGGCACGATTTGGTTGTTTATCCTCGCTTAATTTGAAGTTCGATTGGATTCTTCTTCGGAAACTGAAGACCCTCCTGCCATGTCGTCGTCCTACGACAAGGTGCGCGGTGGAAAGCTGAGCTTTAAGGGCGGATTGGGTCCAGAGAAGACGATCGACAAGAAAAAAAAAAAAAAGACTAAGAAGGACCCCAAGCAGGATGGCGAAGCCGAGGATGCGGGTGGCAATCAGGAGAAGAGTGCGGAGGATGATGTCATTGATACTGGAACGGGGCACGCCCCCGACGGCAAGAAGAGCAAGAAGTATGAAGAGCTTTTCCCTGTGGAGACCAGGAGATTTGGGTACGTGATCCCGAAGGCCAAATCGCGAGAAGCTGCCTTGGATGAGCGCGTGAAGAAGAAGGCGGACCGTTATTGCAAGTAGGGTGTGGGCTCATTCATGTTGGCGCCTGAAGCTTGCGTGAGTTATTTTTCTCCTCTCTGTTTTGTAAGCTTAAACCTTTTAGTTCTCTGAGGAGGTTAGGGTTGGTAGGTTACTGCCGTTGTTTGTTTTATTCTATTTTTATTTTTTTGAGTACCCTGAGCGTCGTGCGTAGTATGCGCGAAGGCTGTAGGTCGTCATCGCTAATGGTCGGCGATTACATGAAGCCAGTATCGGTGCATGGTGGTCAATTGACTTGGTTGTAATTTTAGGGTTTCCGAACTGCCCCTCTACTTTGGTTTTTGTTGGTTTGTTTGTTTTTTTTCTTTCTTTTTTTCTCCCTGTTAATTGGGAGTGTCGGTATAAGTAGAGTTGAGAGTATTAAGTTCACTATGCATGAAATCTGAAAGCATTGGTTACGGGGTGCAGGCCATTCAGGTGGTGCATTCTCCTGCACATCTGATTTGTAAACGATGAAGTATTGAGCATCCTATTTTGTACATGTGTTGAGGATTTGTTGATGGACTCTGCCATTGTCTGATTGCAATCATTGGCTACCTGTCTGTCCCGGTTTGTAATCACTACAAAGAGCTATGAAGGTGTAGTGGGGCTTTTGTGCGTGGTGATGAAAGGTGTAACCTCAGCTTGAGCGTATCATAGCCCCGTAGTTCTTCTTTTGTCTGAGTCTAACTTTTGACTCCTGCATGTCACACTTAGCAGTTTCCCCAAGATGGCTTTTGTTTGTCATCTTCCGACCGAGTCGAAGAGCTTGTGCTCTGCTAAGCGAAGCTCCTCTGAATCTAGTATCAAGGAGGCACTTTTGCAATTTGCTATAAAGTGACGGGTGGCAAGTCTGTCGAACTGCTTCAACAAGTGGCAGCTCATTGTGTAATTCAAAGCAGTTGGAAGATGTAGCTGACTTGAGATCTGAAGGCTAGTACACTTCTGGAGGTGATCTGTGTATATTCTCATACTGATTTCCTAGCATAGGACGCTCTTTGTAGTAAAGTTAAGATTATTGTGTAAGGTGAGCTCCTAAGTTGCGGATGGATATGAGTGGGGAGTGATTCTCAAATGCTCACATTGCTTGCAAAAGAAGTCTAATGCAATTTATTCTCGTAGTGCTATGGGAGTTCATGGTTGACTGCGAGTGCATCGGGAGATACTCATTTCTGGATACTTGCTGAAAATGCTGATGCCTTGTTGAATCAGGGTCCTAGGATTCGCATATCCGCGTTTAGAGTAACAACAGTGACTATCGTATTAGACTTGAACCTGTTTTTGTGATGCCTTGCAATTTTGGATTATTTATTTATTTATTTTTGTTTGTAATATATCATGTCTTTGTTTGTGTGCTGAACTTCTAATACTGTGAGCTCTTTTTTTGGGGAACTGAAGAGCACTATTTTACTCTCATTTTGAAAGATATTGTTAACTGAGTATCTGTGATTGGACATTGAAATCACTGTTGGGCAATGCTTGTATTTGGTGGACAAATCTATATTTTTCTAATGTGCAAAAATTTGGATATATGAGTCCATTTTTAAGTTCCCGAATCAAGTGTACGTATTGATTCTTCAGCCCCAGAACTGTTCATGCTATTGACCATTGTTTCAGTTTTCGGAACGTTTTCATCATGACAATTTTTTTTTTTTTTCAAAACAAGCTTACGCATTAATTTATTATGTTGAATATCTGTCTGTTTTCATAAAACAGCGAGAGTGACTGACGAATGTAAATCCGGCCGTATTGAAATTTTAAGTTGCAGTAGTATTTATCATTCCAAATCAACACTTCCATGTAATTTTGGCTTACAAAATACTCGAATCCATTCCACTATTGTTTCACCGTATGCTTCTGAATGATCGTGAACACTCTTTGCTGAAAACGTTCTTTGTTCCACTGAATTTGAGTTCAAAGAGAACTTTACGCGTTCAAAGAGATCTTAATCCACAACGTCAACCATATTATTGCGCGCAATGGAAACAGGTTGCGGTCGATGGAAAATCATGAATAAGAAGTGCCTGTTTTATCTCCTTTACTCTCCAACACAACACATGCACTAATTTGATACTATTTCGACAAAATGGAGGAGGTGACAGTTACTCCTTTTTTAAGGTTATCAGGAATAATGGGGTTGGGGCATTTAAGAAGCACGCTATTTAACGATGACCTCAAAAACTAACTAGAAGCGGGTCAATAAATAAGTTTGCAAAATAATGGAACGGAATGAGATGGACATGCGACAACAATGGATGCAATCACGTGGATGGATGATCAGGTTACTAGGATGAAAATGTGGCACGAAGATGAATGAGATGTTGCGATGGCGGAGGAGGCGGCACAAAGGCGGAGGGAACGGGGAACAGGGTAACAGGAACAGGAACGGGGAACGCATCGTCTCTTTGTGGGCTGGGCTTGGCTTGGCTTGGCTTTGGAGGGGGGGGGGGTCTTGGTTTTTGTCTTCGTGTTCGTCGTCGTCGTGCTTCGTTTCCCTTCTTCCTTCATCCGCCATCGCCTCTTTCTGGGCCTCTAGAATCGCCATCCCTGTTCTATTCCTTCCTTTGTTCAACCTGCGCCGCGACGACGCCCTTCTATCATTCCTTCCCCTTTCCGCTCATTTTGGTACCTATTTGGATCCCTCTCTGTTTGGTGCGGTAGCCAGCCCCCGCTCTACCCTCCCTCTTTCTCCACTCAGATTTTGTTTGGATAGGGTTCGTCCGACGACTTAATTTTGGAACTCATGCTCTCTTGTTTGTGGGGTAAATCCGAAGCACACCGAGGTTGTGTTTGCTTTGGGCCTGTGGGAAAAAGAAGAGTTGGAGTGTTTGTTGAAAAGATTCTTCTTGCGAGTCACGTAGTTTTGTGCCGCCCAGTTAATGGTGGTGCTTAGCCGTGTGGAAGTATCTTTGCTCTTTTTATTTTTGTTTCTTTTATTTTATTGTATTTGTTTTTTGTGTCGTTTTGAGCTTGTGTGAAGTGTGGTTGCCGCGGGACGATGTTCGATAGGAAGTGAACTGGAAATGGAGGGTAGGGGTGGGTGGGAGTGTAAAGTGATGCTTGTTTCTTTTGACGAGAGATGTTTGTGTGGTTTAGGACATGTATTTTCTGTTCCTCTTTGCGCTTTAGCTGCTATTCATGTCTGTGGAATTTCTTTCAGCGTGCGCTAACAACTTTAGGGGTTTATTTACAGGCAAGTAGCTAGCGAAGGAAGAATGAAGAAGTCATCGCAATAATCTTTGGAAGACTATTATGTAATACAATGCGCCGCTAAGAGACAGCTATCCCTGTAGTGCATGTCTTGGTTACGAAAGCTTGAGTGTAGAAACAAAAGGTGTTTTTGTTTCCCTAGCTCGGTAGCGGAAACTGAAATGACTTTTGGCAAGATTTTTAGGTTATAGCGAGCCGTGGAGGTTGTTGCGGACAGATTCCGGAATAAACATCTAAAGCAGTGGGAGGGAGGATTTTGAGGGGGAAACGCTGGCGCGCCCAGGGGATGCCTGATGGCGGATCAGCCCCAATCGCATTTACTTTTTGATGAAATTCGTCTGGAAGTAAAAGGGCAGAAGAGCAGAATCTTAAGCATCGTCTCAAGCGGAGCTAGGGATAAGGGTGGGGGTATAAACGGGGAGGAAGAATGCTGAGCGTGGTGCGGGTGCACCTCCCGACCGACATTCCCATCGTAGGCTGCGAGTTGTCGGCCTATGTGCTCTTACGACGGGGTGATTCAAGTCTTTCCCCAGAAGATGTCACCGAGGCCTCGTCAATCGACGGCTATTTCCTTCAGTGTCGATGGTACTTCGCCTTGTCTTCATCTACTTTCAGTTTCTTGAGGAACACTTACATTGATACTGGTTTAGAAGGAGATAGTTCGTGATTTGGGTTAGTAATTATTATGCTCTATAATCTGAAGCTTTGTCAGTGTAGTCACATTTTTGTCAAGATTTATTGGTTTACAATTTGAATCTTGGTATGACAAATGTAAAACTTGAGCTGAGCACTTCGTCTCAGACAGGTACATGTATTTACTTTGGTTTCCGTTGTGAAGCTGGGTGGACACGGTTGTATCGAGACTTAGGTTGCCCATTAACTGCTTTGTCAGAGTATTTTGTTTTGTTTGTGAACACAACGATATTGTTTTTCCTTCTATGAAATATCAATCGTCGTTCATGGGGGCGAAGGCTTAATTTGTTGGCTCTGTACGCGAAACAGGTATCGACTGCAGAATGAGCAGAAGGTTTTAGTCTGCTGTGTACACCCGTCTGAGCCTGCTACACTCCAATGTGTGCAGTGCATGAAAGCAAAACTTCCCCAGTCGAAGAGCTTGCATTGCACCCAGAAGTGTTTTACAGACTCATGGCGGCACCATGTTATTATGCACCAGGAGGCTGCTGACAAGCGAGAAAATGGCTTCGAAGAAGATGAATCCCCGTTTACGTTCAACTCGAACCCGGCAAAAACTCTTCGGTCCCTGGATGGGAGTCTGGGTAGTGCTGCTACGCGAATGGCCAATCATTCCAATGGATCCATATTCTCTAGCCCCGTTCGGATGGCATCGCACAACCAGGATCAGGAGGCTGGTGAAGTTTGGTGTGAAGTTGGACAGGGGAAGACTTACACACCGACTACGGAGGACGTAGGTCACATCCTGAAGATAGAGTGTGTAGTCATCGACGGAAGCACAGGGCGGCCAGCTGAAACCCCTCATCAGAGACAAACATCACGCGTGATCCCTGCACCATCTCCAACCCCGCGGCGGTTGGTGACGGTAAATTCGATGGAAGGAACGGGTCTGGTGGAGACAGATGGACGGACAGCGACTTCTGGGACTTTTACGGTGCTATCGTACAATGTTCTGTCGGACCTGTATGCCACCAGTGAGCAGTACAGCTATTGCCCTCCATGGGCATTGGCATGGACATATCGAAGGCAGAATCTGTTACGGGAGATTGTGGCGTACCGAGCAGACATTCTGTGTCTTCAGGAGGTATTTTGAACTTTGAATGGGAGTTGAGAGTAAAGACCAACGGTCCTGGTCTGTTATTTTCTGGAAGGAGTGTATTTCCATTGTCTGAAAAAAATTGATCTTTTCAGGCGCAAATTTTGTTTGATCAGGTCTTGGATTTGCGTAACATCGCCATCTACTTGTAGTATCAAGGTAGATATACATGAGGCGTTGAGGTTTAATCGGGCAGGTCGATGTAATCGTAATGATGTGAATGGTATTGTTGGGTTGGATCCGCAGGTGCAAAGTGATCATTATGAGGATTTTTATGCGCCTGAGTTAGAGAAGCATGGTTACACCGGTGTTTACAAGAAGAAAACTGGGGAGGTGAGATCAGTCTTGTGCTTCATGGTTGGGTCCTTAGAAACATAAGCTTATGTAACAAACAATTCTTACTAAAATTTGTGCTTTTACAGGACTATACCCAAGAGTGACCTGTGATTTTGTTATTTTGCAATGGATTGCAGGTGTATACAGGTTCTGTTTATGTTATTGATGGTTGCGCAACGTTTTTCCGTCGAGATCGCTTCTCATTAGTGAAGAAATATGAGGTATGAATATTCGGGTTTAACCTGGTTTTTTTGTTTTGTTTTGTTTTGTTTTTTTTTTAACTCGCATAGATGCATCTATAAGGAAACCATCTGACGGATTCCTGGTCTCATGATAAGATACGTAGTGGTGATCAACGTAGTAATGTTTCTTCTATTTGTCGAACTTCCCATCATCAACTGTTTACATGTCTATGTCCCGTCTAAGAAACAAGGTTTGAATCTTATCTGGCTATTTTTAGAGAGGTGTTGACAGGAGAGGAAGAGAGGAGTCATCACTTGTGGTCTAAACGTCGTTTGTGAATGTTTGTGGTTCGCGTTGTTTTATTTTATTTTTTTCTCCCTCTCTCCTTCTTCCTCCAAGGCTGAATAATTTGTATTTGAAGCTTCCAATGAGAGTATGATTACAAATAGCAATTATGCTATTCCGTGTCACTTACGCAGGTGGAGTTTAACAAGGCTGCTCAGTCATTGTCAGAAGCTCTGATACCATCTACTAAAAAAGCGGCTTTGAGCAGGCTTTTGAAGGTTGGTTTATGCCTTGAGTATACCTGGAGCTCGTTTGACTTTTAGGAGCTTCAAGTTTTTGTTGTATCCATGGTTTTATTATTGTTGCTAATAAATAGACTCCAAATAATCACTGGATATCTTGATTCGTTCCAGGCCGTTCAACTGTAATGGAATTGATGAGTTACTGAGAACTGTCTTCATATGAATCGGGACCTCTTCAAAGCGTGAAAGGATATTTTACGAATTGATGATCTGTCACCTATGCAGGACAATGTGGCATTGATCGTGGTACTGGAAGCGCGTGATACTGGAGGGTTTATGGATCCTCAAGCCGTTTCAGGCAAGCGTGGCCAGCTTCTGTGTGTGGTGAGTATATATTCATAACTTTCATATCGAGGGCATTGCTGCAGGCCGACTTTTGTCAAATTATAGAGTTGAGACATGCAAACCCTGTCGTTATATTTCTTAGAGCTGATTGGGATCTAACTCAGGTACTGTTGGCTTGTTGCCTGTGGACAGGCAAACACACATATTCATGCAAACCAGGAACTTAAGGACGTCAAGCTTTGGCAGGTATGCAGATCATTCTATCTTCTTGGTTCAGATCGCAGCTCCAATTATGTGTTGAAGTATAACGTTCAAACCACTGGATGTTGTGATTTTTACTATGCTTTGTCTAGATTAATTTCCGACTGCTGAATTCTCTAATACTCTTGTATAACTGTTCGATTGAGGATTTGGGCTTGATTTTTGTTCAGGTACATACTCTCCTCAAAGGTCTTGAGAAGATAGCAGCCAGCGCAGACATTCCCATGCTGGTGGCTGGCGATTTTAACTCTGTTCCTGGCAGGCAAGTGCTTCTAATATACCCTAAATACTGAGGATCCGTTCGTGTACGTTGCTAGGCCGCTGTAAGGTCCATGTGGCAATATAGTGATGGACATGGAATCCAAGTTTAAGATCCGCTGTTGTATTGTACGCTCGTGAATGAACAATACGGTTCTAACACCAACCTATGGGACTGTTTTTGCAGTGCACCTCACTGTCTGTTGTCAACAGGTAGTGTGGATCCTTCCCATCCAGACCTGCAAGTTGATCCACTGAACATTTTGCGGCCTGCAAGCAAACTTTGCCATTCACTGCCCTTGGTAAATGTTTTTATTTCGCAGTGTTTTTCGAACAGTAAATTATAACTATAATTCAAATTCGCATACTGCTTAATTTAAAAGTGTTATAACCAGTCAATCCATCAGCCTTTCTCAGTATGCAAAAGATGTGAAATTAAGAGTTGAATAGCTGCTTAATGGAGTATTTTGGGAATTTTGCAGGTAAGTGCTTACGCAGAATTTGGGAGATTGATCGGAAATGGTCCTACAGTAGAGAAACAGAGGCGGCGAATGGATCCAACCACCTGGGAACCACAATTTACAAATTGTACTCGAGATTTTCTGGGCACGCTTGATTATATTTTCTACACTGGTGAGATTGTCATGTTCTTTTCTGACAGTTGTGGTAGGACGTCCTATTACATTGAAGAGAACCGAAAGCTCTTCAACTGCTGTCCAATATTACTGTTCATATTTTTCTGTGCTGTTGGAAAATGTTAATAGAGGACATCCTTCCAACTCATACGGTTTTTGGATGGTGACTTGGTGCCGTGTACCAACGCAACCATCTATTTGAGAGATAAGTCTTTGGATGTTATACCTTCAGTGAATTAGATTTTAGTTCGATTCTGACAGATGAACGGTAATGTTCTGCAGCGGACTCGCTTAGTGTGGAGTCACTCTTGGAACTGCTGGATGAAGACAGTTTACGCAAAGACACTGGGTTACCCTCTCCGGAATGGTCATCAGATCATATTGCTCTACTGGCGGAATTCCGATGCAAGCCTCGGATGCGTCGCTAGACCGACCTCTGCAAGATTTGTGCGGATTTTACTTGTTGCAGTTTGCTTAAGCTTTGGTATAGCCTGCTTGTCTGAGCAGCCAACTGCTTGTGACTTCATTTCTCATCCGTTGGGTTGTCTTTCACGCTGTTCCAGAAATTAGGGTACAGCAGCTGAGGTTGTGTATTTTCCCCAAGATTTCGGTTCGTTGACAATTAGCATGTTCAAATCATTAGAGACATGAAGTACCACTTAGATTTGGAACTGATGTATGAGGTTCAGATTTTGAGCTCCCACAGTAGCTGCCACCAGTTTCTTGGACATATTTTAGCAACCTCCAACAGGAGAGATGTAGCTGGATTGGAGAATGCTCCAATTGAGTCACTAGTGCAGATGTACATTTTGCTAGGTCACTAGCTATTGGGTGTTCACTCTTACCGGTACCTGATTGCTCAATAAGCTGTCAGTCTGCGTAATAACAAAGCCCAATTGTGCCCCTTTTTCGTTTTCTCTTCCATCGTATCTGCTGGTTATTCTGAAATGCCATCAACTATGTGTAGTTTGCTTTCGTGCGGGGGACTCTCTAATTCTATGTTTTTTTTTTTTTTTTTTTTTTTTTTTCTAGTCACCGGTCCATACCAATGTCATTACAATTCGGGTGTCTATGGAATTTGGAGATGCCTTATTGTTAATAATTTTGAGCTGCCCAATTCTATGTGGTGGATCTTGTGAAATGTTGTGTGAATACTGATGTTCTTGCAATTAAAATATCATCTCCAAACACATTAGTTCTTACATGACTATGTACAGTAACTTTTATGTGCGTATAATGTTGTGAAAATGTTACAAAATTTAGATATTAATTTGAAAATGCTTACTCCAAGAGAGATTGAAATTGATTTTTCTCTTTACATTATGTCTTGCTAATATAAAATAAATAAAATGAAATTGCATTGTAAAATAAATAGAGGTAATGTTCTCTATACCCATTTGTGCAATTACTAGCTATTATAAAAGTTTTATATATGTAAAACAATGTCTATATGGGATATTTTTTTTGTTGTTTCTATTCATAAGTTCATTTACCATTGTTATTGCATATATATATATATATATATATATATATATTTATCTACATATGTAATGAAATTTCTTTTATTTTTAATAATATCCTTTAAAACTTTTATAGCTTACCAAGGTTAAATTTGTACGTTTTTATTTATTATTTATTTGACAAAAGAATCTTTATTAAAAAAATCCTTTTTTTTATTGTTTAAAAAAAAAAAAAATACTCTAGTGATTATTAAACAAATTGCTCTCCTCTAGTAGTAACTAATTACATTCTTATTATACCAGAATTTCACAATTATATAGTGGCATGACGTTCAATGTATTAAAATAGTAACACCAAGTGAATATATACACCAACTTTAAAACATCTTAATTATTTAATTTATTTAATTTAAAATACACCCTTGGAATCAAATTAATATAGTAACTATTTATACTACTCTAACAAGAGAATTTGTATAATGTCTACATATTGCTCATTTTCATATTAGTGCCAGCCAACATATTACTTTATCTTCAAAAGAAGTATTCAACCAAAAAAATTGATTTATCAAAAACTTATCAAACAATGCATACAAAAACATTAATGCATATGTATGTTATCATTAACATTTTATTTGCATTCAATATCATTTTTTGTACTCATAGAATCTTTCTTAGTAATTTGTACCAAATATTGAATTTCGAATAATCTCATTTATTAGTTATAAGTTTTAGATAATTAATTTATAAATCTATATCCACAGGCTATGTTAAGATATTAAATCATAATTTTCAAAAAGAGTGATCATATCTATAAATGTGTTTGAATGAATGTGATATAATAATTTTCAGCATATCAACACATAAATCTGAAAGTTGTAATATACTTCAACATATTTAAAACACATACAAATGTAAGAATACAAATGAATAAGAAACAACAGAAAAATTCCAGCGTGTATCCAGATAATGCATGCATCAAGTGGCACAACGATGAACAACGCAGCAATGCGAAGACATACTACAGTATAATGCACCATGGTGTAGACATTTAACTTGAAGTGTAACACTGACACCTTCATGTCCAGCGAGAGAGTCAAAACAAGGCAGATGATAGATAGAAACTGAGCAAAGCTCTCACGAAAGAGTGACGAGCATGAAGATGTGAAGAAATGATCATTTTCTGCAAAAAGATTATTGCTGGTGAGACATTTCTCACAACTAATATCTTTGTAGCTCGAGTTTTATCACTGATAGTTCCAAGGCGAACATCCTGCAAATTTGAAGCACCACAAGATGTGCTCTACTGCGAACTGAGGGTGACTTGACTTTCAAGCACTGTGCTGGAAAAAAGACAGGGAAATGTCTCATGAACATATATCCTACAAGTGCTATTTGTATTCGATTCCAAGCGGAATCTGACATAATGACATTTCATTAAGGAAAAAAACGATCTGCCAAGAAAGAGAAAATGTTCGCCAATTTTACAACACATTCAGCTCATCGCTGCTTCTGCTGTGGCTATTTTCAGATCTTCCTACCACCTGCCCGCTGATAATTACGCAATGCTCAGCCCTGAAGCACACGTTGCACCTGCTGTGCGATTCCCTCCGGAGTGTGGAAATGAATACGGGTGGAAACTAGAATTAGGGTTACATGGTAGATCTACATTCTGCATGGCTCATTACTCGTCGCCGGAAGGTTTGCTAACCTTGGACATGTCGTATCCAACGTCTCGAATACTCTCCTGGTCAATGCCATGCTTGACATGCTCTTCATGAGCCCTATCGGCCACCTTGCCGGGATGCTGCTGTAATCCACCATAGCTCTTGGCATCAGCATCCACCGCAGGGGGTGCGGAAGAAGAACCCTGCGGATCCTCCCCCTCCTTCGCGCTGTTGTTGTTATTGGCACCACCCTCTGAGTGACGGCTGCCGGACGACCACCCACGTGAGACAGTCCCCATGGAAGCGAACTTGCGCCATAGAAGCTCGGTGGATGTGCGGGGGGGACAATAGTAAGAATCATACCACACCGAGCGCATCAAGGCCTGCCTTCCTGCCATGCTGCTGTGCCACAACAGTGTGGCCGTCCCAGGAATCACAACACCCTCCCTCCCCTACAAAAAGAATCAACCCCAAAGCAAATGAAAGCCAAACAAAGCAAAACAACGCAGTGCGAAGCAGAGAAGAGAAGAGAAGAAAAGATCAATTAATCCTTCAATTCCCACAATTCCTTTATCTTTCACTTGCAATTATTTGCATTGTGTGCCCTCCCTCCTCCGCTCATTCCTGAGTGAGAGCAACTCCATTCTCTTCCCTCCCCACCCCAACACTCTCGGGCGACACTTGTCATTTGGCTTGCTATTACCACGTGGCATTTCTCTACTCCGTTTGGTGGCGAGTGCCACATGGCGCCGTGAGGGCGTTGCTGACGTGTTGACTCCCCATTGGTGTTGCGCCTCATGGTCCGGAATTTGTTACATGCGGAATTATTTGAATGGTGATTGAAAGTATGAGTTTTATGATTGGAAACACCTAAATAAATAAATAATAATCTCCATCTTGCTATTTAATATTAACTTGGATTTGTTCCAATGCAAAATTGCAGATCTTTTCAAGGTTTTCTAATGTCATTTTGCTTTTAGAAATGATTTATTAATTATCACTTTAATTCTTGATTTTAATTGGTACAATTTTTTTCATTGTGCAATGCAATAGATTACAAGCAATCATTTTCCATTTATAACAAAATTTGCATGTCTTACAAAGTCCAAAGTAATGATAATTTAATAATAACATAATTACTATACAATATTTCAAATTATTTTAGAATGTAAATTTAATAGGGTTGTTAAAGTAAGAATAAAATCCAAAATTTGTTAAAGTTGATACCTCTGAGGAAAAAATCACCATAATATGGTTTTGTACAAAAGGATTCATTATTTCTATAAAGTCTATTTTATTTTAATAAATTACTTCTTAAATCACTTTGATATATTTTAAAGTGGAATCTTCTTGATTTTTAGACTAATTTTCAGTGATTAACTTCTTATTTTCATTCAAAAAGAAATCATGATATTGAGTAATCCTACTTCTTTATACTTTTAAATGCAATCACATGTTTATTGTATTGAAATAGTTCCAAAGGACAACTCTCTCTCTCTCTCTCTCTCTATATATATATATATATATATATATATATTTAATTAATGGACAATAAGACATGTTCATTTTTAATTTTTATTTTTAAACATCAACCATTTACTTACAATTTTTAGTTCAAAAAAACAAAACATGATATAAAATTGCTATTGTATGATTGAAAAAATTACATAAATGACTTTCTTATTCTAATTCTATTATTAACATATGAAAAAATAATAAAAAATTTACTTAAAGATTATATCAAAAGAATACGAATTAAAGACTTATTTGAATATTACTAAATATATTATAAATATTATAGTTTTTGGCTTGTCTTTATAAAAACTAAAAACTTTTGAATACAAAAAGAAAGAATGATAAGATTCTATATATCTTAAAATTTTATAGATTTGAATTTAGAATATATAAAAATTATATATGTAATATTTATTATTTTAAATATTATTATTATTATTTATTTAAAATTAAAAACTATATATTCTATTATATATAAAAATTAGTTATTAATATATAACATAGTTTTTTATAAAAATAAATATTTTATTTTGATCAATATATAATATATTCATGATAAGGTTAATAAATTTATAAAATATTATGTCAAAAATTGAATGTTTATTTCACGAAACATCTCCAATAATTATGCGTGATACATGGCTAATTTTCTAGTTAAGTTTGCAATGTACCAATTAACTACAAACATATATAAAGCCAAATCCACATCTATAAAGCTTCTAAGAAGTTTTTCCATAAGATATTATGAAATTTACTTCCTTCTACTTATTTCTATCTAAGTGTTTTAATCTAGGTAAATATGTATATTTTTAATATTAGATTGATTTATTCACAAATAAGAAATTGTTTAAGTCTACAATAATCAAACTTGTTATAAAGGCAAATAGTCTTAATATTACAATCAAGTAATCACATCTTACCATGAACATAGAATTGATGTTGTTCATTGCAATGGATATGTACAATAATCTTTTGTTGAACTTCACCTTCTTTTAATTGTGTTGATGCTTTTGAATTTTCAAAAGTTAAATATCTTAAGGTGAAAGATTTGTCAAATTATTTATCTGAGCCACATACAATAATGAAGCTACAATTAAAAGAAGCTCAAGAACAACAAATGACGAATACAAATGTGTATTGCTAGGAGCATTTATTGCTAATATTGAAGTTATATCATATATTATATGGCTCAAGAAGAGATATGTAGAATGTATGATGGGTCTTGATAGACTCTAATAGATATAACCCATAAGCAATTGGATTGATTTGTTTACAAATAA